TAAAAGACACCAAAAAGTGCATTTTGCATGATAGGTCCCCTTTAAGTATTTTGGCCTGGGTGCCAATTCCACGGATATTCCACGTTACAATTTTAAAGGAAACCTATCATGCTATATTTAAATGATATATTGTAGGGCCATACCTATATAAGGTATATTTATACGTTTCTGTTTTCAAAATACCAAACAGATCATGCATTTTAGCCATGCCTCATTTCGCTCTATGTGCTGTTTGCTGTCTACGGGTCTGATTCTGCTGACCACGCCCCCCTGCAGGAGAGGTGAGCCGTGCTCTGATCAGCTGCTGGGCATTAAATAGGCAGTTAACTCCGCGAAGATGGAGCTCCCCACCCGGGTGCTCTGCTGTTGCGGAGCCTGCCTCGGTCGGGCAGCCCTTCCCCGTGACTGCCGGTATGCCGGTGCCACGGGGTGGGCCGTAGAGGTGGAGGGCGCCGCAGCTACGGGACCCCCGTGCCGGCGCCTCTCCCTCCGCTTCACTGTCGCACTACGCTCCCTCCCCTGCATGGCAACGCGAGGGGGGCACGTAGCGGGGCCTGAGGAGGAGCCAGCGATAGCATGCGGCTAAGCTGGACTCTCTCCTCCTCTAGGCGGCTGAAGCGCTGGGTGACCGAGGAGACCGACCCAAAGAGCCCCTCCGTGGACACGGGGGCTCCGAGGAGATCTTCTCGGTCCTTCTTAGATAGGGCCGTGAGCCCTAGCCACACGTGACGAGACGCCACTGTGGCCAGGGAAATCATCCGCCCTGCTGCGGTGGCCACGCCATAAATCAGATTACTCATCTGACTAACAGCGTGGTCCGAATAATCGCTCTCGTCCTGAGACGGGAGGGCGGGGGCGTCTGCCTGAGGGGTGATCAGGAAGACGCCAACATGCCAAGATTATCGCCCGCAGCCGCCATCTGCGTACCGAGCTTGAACAACTTATCCAGATATTCCAGGTGTCTCGGTCCCGGGGCAGCGGGGGCAGAGGACGTTTACCCTCCGCCCAACCAGCCGCGGAAGCAGATCATTGAGGGGGGGGGGCACACCTGGACATGTCCTGTCCGAGCGATCCACCACCTTAACGATACCCGCCATGGCGGCTATCGGGCCTTCGTTTTAAATGGCTGCTGCCATGTCGCCTCCACACACCGCCATACCTCTGGCAGCTGGGGCGAAACGAAGGTCGGCTGCGCCGGATGCACCGGGCCGTAAATCTCAGGCGGTTTACAGGCCTCGGTGGCAGCGGTGGGGGGAGCGGTAAGCCTACACGCTCCGCCGCCAGAGTCATCATCGCCGGGAAATCGATCCACGCAGACCTGAGAGTTGGACCTCTGGTCAGCGAGGCGTCCTCCTCGTCCCCCATCGGAAGAACCGGGACGACGTCACCTCGCTCCCCGAATCGCCTACGTCCACGACGTCGAGCTCCAGATCCACCGACTCCTCCTGCGGGGTAGCCCTCGCCAGGAAGTGCTGCCCACGATGCTCTCGTGTGAGCCGCGGGATCATCTGGCAGTCTGGGCATGTCAGCGTCGGGCCCATATTACCCACCGCGTGGTCAGGCCCCAAGGACGTGAAGCAGAAGGGTAATTAGATTCGGGCATTTCGGGCAGGTCCTACACTTTACTCTCTCTTTCTCAATCGTCTCGAAGCTCGTGGAATCACTTCCGCTGCTGAAGAGAAAAAGGATGATAGTCAGGAGGCGAGGCCTCCTTTTATACGGTGTGATGCGCGCGCATTCAGGTAGGCCCGCCCTGGGCCGGCTACATCTATAGAAGTCTCAGTGGGAGAATGCACGCGGGATAAGGTAGTACCCATAGAGTCCAGTAGAGGGCGGAGCCTGTGAGAGATATAACTGTCCCTGAGTCTGGTGGTTTTAGTCCTGATGCTGCAGTACTGCCTGCCAGACGGCAGCAGACAGAACAGTTTGTGGCTGGGGTGATGGGGGTCTTTTATAATCCTGAGGGCTTTCTTTGAGGTTAACCTGGTATTTTTACTCCACTACATTTATTTTAGTTACTTTACAGATTTGTATTAATGATGTGAAATATAAACAACCCTTGAATCAGACTTTAGTTACACATGAGTAAAATTCAGTGAAGGTGATTGTCAAGTGCCAACAATCAGGCAAGATATTTGATAGTTGGTGCTTGAAAAGACTAAACAAATGTATCTGCAGATCCCTATAAAGCATATTCATTACTCGTTATTTGCTAATCGTTCATTAAAAACTGTATATAATGGCTATTTTGCACATCCCTTTCCAGATTTCCAGATTTTCAAAGGTTTATTGACATATCATATACACAACTACGGTGTAGTTATGCAATGAACGAAAAACTTGTCTCGCAGGCTCCTCAACAGTGCATTACTAGACATCTATCAATATGCGTGTATACCTCCACCATTAAACTGTCGTATTATGCACATTTCTTATTCTATTTACATACATCTTATAAGAGTATAATAAATATGTATACTATCGGTTAAAATAAGTGCTTCAACATAGTTAACATTGCAGGAAAGTTGATTGTCAAGTCCCAAAACAAACCATGCAAGATATTAGACTTTAAGTACTTTGTCAGGCTTAATAATTATCTGTAGGTACCCCCAAAGCTTTTTGCTTACATGTATTTAAAAGAAGACCTTAACCTAAAGTATTATTTAATGTTTTAATAAAGTCTAATTAGTTTCTGTTTTGCACATCTTCCTATTAATATCTTTGTACATCCGGCACTAAACTGTTTTATTCTAGATATCATTTACAGTATCTTCTTGATATTTTTCTATGCTATATTTCTATCATCCCCCTATTTTGTATGTAGTCTTAATATTTAAATGTTTTCATAAAATATAACACATTCAACTAAACATGCAGAAGTTAATAAAAAACAATAATATCAAAACAAAATATGACTACTAACTTTATTGTGAAATTACAGAACGGTAAAAGAATAGTTTCCGGTCTATTCGGAGGCCCGATCTCTGTAGATAAATAAAGAACTACGACAGATGTGTCATATTTAATGCAGCCAAACCATTTATTACAATGCATTCATGTGATGACTTTCAAAGAGTAAAGCAAGCACTGCTGAATAAAGTATGATTTTATCTTTTACGAAACGTTTTTTTTCATATGGAATGCAGTTGGAGGTCAACCAATCGCAGAGCCTGAGGACTAATCACGGGGTTTGTCGAGCAAAGCGGAACGATAGCTGAGGGTTATGGGTAGTGTAGTGTCTTCGGACATCCTAAACTCCGAATCGAAGGGGAAAAACACAAAAGCATTGTACACAATTTAAACCAATCAATGTTGTGTAATTAACAAGGATAATCTGGTGTGTTTGAGTTGATGAGTAGTGCAGATATCACTGTAAAATCAATCGACAGTAAGGAGAATACTTACTTCCGGGTGTAAAATCCTCCGTTATCCAATGGGAATGGACGCTCACATTGCCTTTAACTGCCGCCGACATGGACCGATGCGGTGCTTCCCTGAGCGTCAAATACCGCCGCCGATGGGAATACATTGCAATCAGTTGAAAGCTCTTTGCGTCCGTTTATGAAGCTGAAGGAGACTCGGCGCGTCACAACTGCACGCCAAAGGACCTTGACCAAGCGTCGCTATTGGACTATCAGAGAGTGAGACTGTGTTGTCCCAGCAGCTTCTACTTCAACTGAAGCCTTCCGAGTAAATCGCCAGAAGCGGCGACACCTCCTCATCACTCCACCGCTCCCATGTTTTCTTTTGTGTTTCCATAAGTTAGTCTCTCTCCGTTTGTGCGCTGGGCTAATGCTAATGCTAATAATGCTAATGCGAGCAAATAAAATGGTGGCTTCACAAAACTTTTCGAGTTTTACGGGCCGTGGTTTGCAATTCGCCCAGCCAATCACAAATTGGAACCTTTTCCTCCCCAGGAAAGTACCACCTCTCTAGCAGGGACTGAAAAGGGGTGGAAGGTTCCCGAAAAAAAGTTGTAGTTCCAGATCTTTTTGGTGTGGACGCAAAATCCCAGGAACTATCGGAACTATTCCTGGGAAAAGTACTCCGGTGTGAAAGCGCCTATTGCCAAAAGGCCTGGTTCTCCGAAAACAAACACTCTTCTGCTGTGGAAACCCCACCTCTAATTGGCTAGTGCTCATTGGTCAAGGTCTCCACTGGTTTTTCTCTGCATTGTATTGTTTGTCTTGGTTTTCTATGCTCCTTCTCTGTTTATCTATTTATATGAAAAATAAGGGTATACTTTTTTTTATATATACTTTTAAACAACTCTATTTCAGTCAGTAGAAGTTTTGTTCCTAGGCTGTGACCTTGATAAGAATGCATTTCTTAGCTCTATTGATAATGAAAATAAATCCGCTTTTGGGATGTTTTGCCATGCTCAGCATGCGAGTCAGGCCTCACTGCTACTGTAAAGCTAAAAGCATGCAAATAAAGTCATCACATTCCCAACACAACTCACCCTGCTATAAGAAATGATTCCTGGATCCATTTATTCTGACAGGTAGTTGGCTCAAGTCTGCTGCCTATTAACGCTGACATTTAGATACACAGTGAGGAATCTGCTGCTGAATCATGGTATAAAAACAGGTAGAGGAAAGTGATTTGAACATGCTTCACTTTTGCTTTCAAATGTTATCAGGATCAGAAACAGGTTTATTACCACGTACGAGGAATTTGACTTGATGTCAGTGCCTTCAAAGTCAAGGTCACATTAATTTTATGTGAATGACTCACAAAGCACCTAATGTAATCCTCACACAAGTTGTAATTATAAAACAAAAGTAATTAGTAATGGACTAGTGCAACACATTGTTGAATCACTTTATACCAGGCTTGTACTCTTGCATTAAGAAGCCCAGGGCTATTTTTTTCTCTCCTGTCTGTCAGTGTGTAACGGCCCCTTTCACTCTGTTGGAACTTGTCGGCTGAAGCTATGAGTCAGACAAAGCTAATACATAAAGTCTCGAGGCACATGCAAAGTCCCTGGCACTGCACGATACACTGTGATGTGGTGAAGAACATACAACTGATAAGTGTTTTTCTGCAGGGAGACATACAGAAAAGAGGAGGGGGGATATTTCCGAACAAATTATCTAAAGGTAAGCGATGCTAACTATGGCTCTTTATCCAGGATAGATGTGTTTGGTAAAATTACTAAAAATGCAATAGCTATAGCTGTTATCCATGGTATTATTAAGGCAAGGTATGTATATGGCACATTACAACAACAAATCCATTCAAAGTGCTTTACAGTAAAAGTAAACTGTAAAAGTATTCAGACAAAAACACATTCTAAAAAATACATTTAAATAAGTCTAAAAACATTCATTAGAAAGTCAGGAAAATCCCATTTCTGACACGATAAAATGCAATAAGGCAGGTATAAAATACAAAACTAATAGTTACAGTGCAGTTTAAAGTAATATAATAAAGTAATATAATAATATTTGATTTAGTAAAAGGCAGCAACAAAACATTTGTATATGTAGTGAGAGTTGCAGCAGACCTGCAGTTGTTAACTATGGTTGTTGCTGAAAATAATAACATAAATCATAGTAATAATAGTTGTAACTAACAGTAATAACAATAATATAGTATTAAAAGACATTGCTTGCATAAATGTAGCATGAATAATAGAAACAAAGATTGTCTGTAAAGTGTACTGTAAAAGAATGTAACTTTGACAAAATGGCTTATGTCTTTTCAGATTTAGAGCAACTTTTATACACACAATATGATGATAAAAAATCATGCAACTGGAGGAATGCAAGTGGGTTATGGGTAAAATGTTTGTAGACCGCAGTGTCAGCCGCATGACATACAGTTATTGCATTTGCAGCAAATATTAGATCATCTTTTCACACTACTGTCTCCTCGGTCCAGGTGGGATGTTTGTTCTACAGTTACCTGTAATGCAGTTTAGAAATAAATGTAAACTATGCTCGTAATGCAATGCAAATATTTCCTGTGAAATGTTAAATGTGGGCTGTGTGTTTTTTCCCATTCATCTACCAGATAGCTATTATTGTTTTTTCCTGCTGGTAGCTTCATGTGGGTGCAGGCTGTGTGGGTTGGTTTGTGGGTGTTATTGTACAGAATTGCTGGGGGGCTTCACCCTTTACAGCTAAATACCCCAGACCCCCCCTGTTAGATTAAGCAATTATTTTTCATAAAGACAAGTTCAGGCAAAATATTGCTTTCATAGGAAATGCGACATTTAACAAGGGAACATTCCATAGTTTATCAAAAGGCCTGTGTTTTAGCTTTATGAACTTTGTGAGTGTTTGGGTCACAACATTTAAATAAATCAATATCTGGAAAATTCCTTTTAACAGCAGTAAATAAATATTAAAAATAGGAATACACAATTTCTTACCATTTGAATGGCAAAACAATTCTTAAAACTTAAAAATAAATATTAGATCAGATTACAAACATATAGAAAGTAACCGAAAGTAATAGTAGTCATTGTGAAGAATAATATATCTGATATGTTTTATAATGATTGATCATTAAAGTGTTCTCAAAGCTGGTAAAGGTGCAGCTAGTTTGAATGACTTTGTATACTGCAGGGTAGCTTGTGAATTTACTCCAGGTGGAACTAAAGTCTGATTTAAGAGTTGATTATATTTCACATCATTCATCCACATCTGTAAAGTAACTAAAGGTATTAAATAAATGTAGTGGAGTAAAAGTACATGATTTACCAATGAATTTTAGTGGAGTAACAGTACAAAGTAGCAACAAATATAAATACTCAAGTAAAGTACAAGTAACTCAAAATTGTACTTAATTACAGTACTTGAGTAAATGTACTTACAGTAGTGACTTTACACCACTAGATGTAGTGGTACACTGTGTACACTATATACCTACTCTTAATGTTCATTTTGCCATAGTACTGTAGAATTGCACACAGATATTCATTGGAATTGACAATAACTACCAACTAGTTAGTTAGTTAGTTAGTAAGCTCCAGTTCCTAGTTCTAAACACAACTTTCTGACTGTTATAAATGCACTGCATTGTGCCTGACCTTTCTGTTGAATGCTGTTTTTTAATCAAAACAAAGTAACGGTAAAGACATTAACCAAGGAACAGTGCCATTTTTTAAACAGCCCCTACTGTGGCCAAGGAACCATTATGGGATCCTGCTAAATGCTCAAATGTATTGTAAAGTAGCACAAGTGAAGAAGAGATATACATTCAGAGGAATATTTTCCTAAAGTTTCTTTAGCTCACATTAGCCACCATCATTTACTGGTCGACCAGTTAGGCTGCAGCAGCAATACCCCTGGATGTAATAAACTGAAAAGCTGTGCCTGTTGTTGCTTATAAAAAGGTACAAGTTCTTCTTTTGTGATTATGTTATATGAAAAGTATAATATATATGTATAAGCATTTTTGACGTTTCATGACTTCCTTTTCTTGACCATTGTAGTTTTTTAGCAGAAATGTAAAGCCATCATGTGTAAAATGTCGAGATCTTGAGGAAATACGGTGTCCTCTAGTCTAGAGGCAGTATGAGTAATTACACTGTAGCCCACTGCTGTGCGCCCTAACCCCCGGCCATACACAAACATGGGGGACACTGAGATACATTTAACCCAAAACACGTTAAAACAAGTTATTATCAAATGTTTCATTTTTTTTGTTGCTGTTATCTGACTATACTTGTGAACTCTTTTATATACAATTATTTATTTCTGCTGATCAAAGATTTAAGTTCCATTTCCTGCAGCTACAACTGAAACCTCATACCATTTTAGCTACGGTTCTGTAGTAATCTTCCTTTTTACTGTAGGTCCTTTTTGTTCAAAGGAAAGCCACATTCATCAAGTGAGCACCAACCTACGCCCTTTCTATACAGCACCTGGTGAACCCTTTAAATCAATGGCATGTTGAGTTCTAAAGAGCCCTTTCCACAGGGGACATCGATACAAAGGAAAGAAATATGACCGCATTCATGAAATGATATGACTTAGGGAAGGACTGTGTGTGCATATACTGCCTCAGGGTATGGTTTAATGTCATGTAAAACCACCTTTTCATGCTCATAGTCTTTGATATTAAACACAGCATAACATTCAGTCAAAAAACTTTGTATATAGTGTAAACTATCTTGTTTTTTGTTGTCTTTTTTGCAACAGATAGCGTTGGATGGACAATCTAAAAACATCCACGTCTGTCGGCTCTGGTGGAGGTGGGGTTGGCGGAGGTGTTAGAGGAAGTAGCAAAGGTAAAATCTGAGAGGCCTTCTATGCTGCATAAACTTTCTTTATTTTGTATTTTCAGCAAATGTATTATAACCTAACACAGGCTTAAATTAGCTGTAGAATGTCTTACTGTATGTTATTACAAATGGAGGACCAATAATTACACGCAATGAGGTATGTGTCTCAGAAATTTGGGTAGATAAATATCTTAGAACATGCTGTAGTTTCTCAAAACAAAAGACTATTTCCAATGAGAACTGTTCACAGTGAACACTTGAAATGCCAAATCAAAAACATAACTTTTCGTAAGTATTTATAATTAACCATTCTTTTATTCTTTTTACAGTGGTCACAAAATCAGTGACGACTACTAGACTGACATCGCAAAGTAAGCTGTGCCTTTCTTCGCATCTATCAAACACATCATGATTTATACACATATTGAACATTTAGATTATACACTGAATTGATTATTCATTGTAATGAAAGATAGATTGTACAGTTATAGCTACACTCAACACTTTCTTATATTACGAATTGACCAAAATGACTGTTTCTTTGTTATGTGAAAGGAGGGAAACCAAAAGAAAACGATCACTAAGCAGTGCATCCCAATTAGCTTTATTAGGATTTGAAGTGCCTTTAGGTTATTTTCTTTTAGTTTTTCCGGCTGTTACAGTTCAGTCTCACATCTCTTTTTGGCTTTGTTTCAAGATGCAGCAGGTGACTTTAATCAAGTTTAAAAAAACAAACATATCTATGATACTTTCTAGACAAAATAATCAGCTAGCTTTGGCGGATCCTTTAGCAGCTAGCTTGTTTACATTTTGATGATCTTTTTGCAGAGCTTGTGAACATTTAGCTGAACATTTAGCTGCTACAGTAGCTTGTGAAAATGTGGCTGATCATTTAGCCTGAAATATTTCTTTGTGGTAAATAGAAACTAAATCTGAGCTAAAGGAGATTACAGTTAATACATTTGGTAGCCAAAATCAAAATGTTGAATCTGCAGGATGTGTAAATAACCAATGTATTGCTTCAAGCTATACAGGTTGATCATAATGAAGCTATGTTTACAGATTGTTTTTATCCTTCCTTGTGGCCAAAACACTATAACATGTATGCAGCTTTAAAGTACCTTGTGGTTTGCCACTAGAGAGAGGCCGCCAAGCCTCTTGGCAAACAGCTTATTATTTATATTAGACATTAAATGTCATTACCTGCGGCAGCAGAAAGGATGTTTTATGTGCGTGTCAATCAATCTTATATAAGAGTGGAAGGATGTCATGGTTGAGAGTAATAGGGCATGTTCAGTCATGCCAGGCAAGCAGAGGTTTACTTTAGGAATGTTCTTTTATGAAACCACCAAAAAAAAGTAGAATAGTAGAATTTTCAAATATGGGCTTTGCCTGTGCAGTCTTGTATTTTAAACTGGATTGAGGCAAATAATAAATTAACCATCCTTAGCCCCTGCAGACATCTGAGTGCTTGATGATGCATTTGATAAGATCTAACCTTTTAGAGCTGAGATGAAAACCCAATGTACTATTTATGATGAAGTGGCAAATCATCTCCTCCTATTTTTTTTATTTCCTGTCTTCTCCTAGATGATCTCTCTATGAGCGCAGGAGAGTCAGGTGAGAAAGCTGCATCAGGAAGCTCCGGAGGAATCCTGATCGCATCCAGCAGCTACAACGCCGCTGGCTCAGGTGGATACGGCTCTAGTGGAACAAGCAGCTCAGGCCGGATCACATCCAGCAGCTCCAATGCCACCAGCTCAGGTGGATACGGCTCTGGCGGGACAAGCAACTCAGGGTTAATCACATCCAGCAGCTCCAATGCAGCCAGCACCGGTGGATATGCTTCTGGAGAAACAAGCAGTTCAGTCCTGACCACATCCAGCAGCTCCAGCGCTGCCAGCTCCGGTGGGTACGGCTCGGGAGGAACAAACAGCTCAGGCTTGACCACTTCTACCAGCTCCAATGCCACCAGCTCCGGTGGATACGGAACCAGCAAGGCCGCAGGAGGCATCAGTGTCACTACTCTAGGGGCATCCTGTGCTGTATCCTCAGGGGTTGTAAGTTCAGCAACTTCAGGGGGCTCAGGGGGCTCAGGGGCAGCAACAAAGGGAGCTGCTGGAGCGGTGGGGTTTAGGGCCACTGGAAAGGGATCCTCTGGCATGTCTTCTGGTTTCGTGAGTGGGGGCAGAGATGGAAAAAGAGACGGGGGTCTGGGAGCCGTCACAGTTTCAACAGTGACGAAGAACAGTTACAGTTCAGGAGGGTCTGGGGAGGCAAAGAGAGGATCGTCATCAGCAGTCACTTATTCACCTGTTCCAAAAGAGAAGAAGGGCACTACCACCATGGCAGCAGCTGTCTCAGATGTCTTCTACGGTTAGTCAAAAGTCAAGGGTCAATAAATGAATGCTGCTTTACTGAACCGTTGGGTTGTTTTCACATTGTTTGCTGTTTGAAACAAGGCCCTCACATAACTACTTCTGGAAGAAGGATAATATGGTCAATTCTTTCTCATTATGTTTCAGAAAGTTCAAGCACGAACTCCTCTCCAGAGTACAAAAGGAAGGAGTACGGTAAGATTCACTTAATTAAGCCCCGAGCCTGTTTTTCAGGCCTGAGGCTCGAAAATGACATTCCCAGAACAAATGACTATAACTTCACTTCTAAAAAGGGGTAAATTAATTATCTTTTTTCTCAAAGCAATGATACACCTGTGAGTTGGATGTAGAAAACTCAGAATCAATATAGATTTTTTTTATTTTAAAGTAAATTCAGATTGAACATAGTAAAAAAATGTAAATTATAGTGTCCGTCCAAAAAAAAAACATTACTTAGTGAAAACCACCCTTGAATGATGGGATAGTAGACTAAAAGCTTTAGGAATCCAAACTATAACATATAATAAGTACCCTGTATCAAGATGCTTGATATTTGTTTTTCTTTCAGGCACTTCAAGTCTAACTTCTAGCTCTGCCGCCAGAGGGAGAACTCAGAGCAGAGGTAAACTGGCTGCTCTGGCACATTAGTTCATAAAACATGCATAAAAATACACATTAATACAATTTCGTCCTCCAATTTACAGATTATTAAATTACATTAAAGTGCCAATGATTTTAGATCTACAACTGTTCTCTTTGTCTAGAGAGTGAAATCAGAGCAAGACTTCAGAGTGCTTCTCCTCCAGCAAGTTGTGAGTATGACTCTTTACTGTCATGCATATCCAATTTCTGATTCTAGAGAATGTCTTTATGACAGAACAATGTACTCAAGAAATATAGATTAAATTGTGTGTATAATGAAACTAGGCACAGGGTGGTTGTCTGTTTGAGGCTCACTGTTAGCTCGGCTGTACAGGGACGGAGCTGGATGACGTGAAGCGCCTGCTGAGAGGAAACCGCTCCACCAGCACCAGCCCCAGCCCCACCCGCTCCCCCAACAACACGCTGCCTATCCCCAAGAAGGCCAGCGTTGAAACTAGGACCATGTCTGACAGCGCCACCACAGGTTCAGCCAATCAGATGCCAGGTTTGTTATCTTTGAAGGGCTATTGTGTAGGGTTGAGTGTCATCTAGTGGTCAGGCTGCACGTTGCAACCAAATGAATACCATATTTCTGAAGAGGACCCGCTTACTATGAAGATAGAGAGGCTCCTTCTCAGTTAACAATAATAATGTCAGTTATTTTCAGGTGATTCATTTCACCTTTCATTCATTCATATTCATTTTTAGTACATGTTCTACATTCCTCTTTTTTCTTTTTCCTACCAGAGCACTATGGCAGCGTTTGGTCCGGAGGTGGGAGCAGTGGCTACGGTTACAACACTAACCCCAATAACCTGTCGGCTACCTCCACCCTTTACTCATCAGGTCAGTCTAATTACATCAGCCACCTGTTGCTAGATGTACCACTTTTGCATATCACCATTCACTTTAGCAGAGGTAAACTATGTGATTTATTACATAAATAGACTTGAACTGATGTCCAATATCCATTGGTCTATGTAAGATGGTAGTTATAGGTGAATAAGGCATGCATTTATGCTTTAGGTTTTAGCCAACTGTGATATATGTGTGATGTTTTCTGTCTGTGCAGGAGTTCAGAACAACCTGACCCTCAGCTCCCCATCAATGAACGGTGGACTCTCTGCTGGCAGCACTGGTAATTCTCTTCCTGTCATGTCAAAGCCCACTGTGGTTTCACATCCTGAGCTGGGCACTGACAGTAGATACATATGTTGTTTCTCTCTCTATCTCAGTTCCTATGTATGGTCTTCAGAATAACCTGGCCACTACCAGCCCCATGGTCTTCTCTGCCACTGGAGCCAACACACAAACAGGTAAAGTAGGGATTTCCTTCTAATTGTCATAACTGTTAAGGAATAATTCTTCTAGATATCTAACCTTTTGCTCTGTGACGTTTTATGATCTACTCTGACGTCTGTTATCTCCTTTAAGGAAAGGCCTTGGTGCCATATGTGTTGTTGTTACCAGTTTGTGACCGGTCAACTTGTCTGGCACGAATGGTACTTGTTGTGGGAACGCTGAGGCACTTCTTTATCGGTGTTTGTGGACTCTAAGATGTGAAATCTTTGAGGCCATGAGTGTTGGACGCAGGTGGCTCAGTGTTCCCAGCTGTTTAGTCTACTCCTTCAGAGATGTTGATTACTCTCTGTGAACCAGTTAAAAGGTCTAACATAGAGAGAGGCTCTTCAGAATTGATGTGGCAACTCTACCGTGAAGTCAGAACCTCTGACTCTTTGACTTGTGATGTGAATCCTCCGGCCGATACTCTGAATAAACCCATCAGTGTTTGACATCAAAGCTCCAACTCTCACCGTGTCTCCTTCCTGAGTCGGTGACTCCATGAATTGCTACACAGACGTTTCCTCCACAATAACCAGATAATATTGTACTGCCATGGATGGATTACTGAACAGGCCTACCACCCACAGGCCCAGGGGCCTTCATCTACAAAAACAAACTCAAATAGCCATGTCAATATTGAATCTTTTAATTACATCATGTGAGTTTCATGAAAATACTGTTGTATTAGCAAACAAAATGATTTCACAAAATACCACTCTGATAAGGAAACATAGCAGAGAGTCTCAGAGAAAAACAATGTGTTCTATATGCTTTGTTATTAGAACATTATTGAGCAAACGCGTTTTACTTTATACCGTGCCTGTTTGTCTCCTCACAGTTTATGGTGTCCAGAAAAATGTGTCTGGTACTGTAATCGGCACAACCACAGGTGAGGGATAGATATTAGTGTATTAATGGCTTTGTCTTTATACAACAGAGTTTACCCCTTTTGTTTGACCAAACATGCCCTTAACATATACTGTACATTAAATTCATTCAGAGTATAGTAAATACAATGATTTAGTATTAGGCATAGGAAAGTGACTATAATTGTTTTTTTGTTTGTTTCTAAATCACATGTAATTCAAAATGTCTGCACTCAATACGCCATCATATGAGTTTTAATGGTTGTTTCTTTGTTAATCACAGTGAGACCCAGCAGTCCCATTAATGATGAGAGCCCAGGCAAAGACTTTAAGTTTGTGCTGATAGAGAAGGAGAATGCTCCCGTGAAGAAGGAGACGGAGCGGCTGGTCATGACCAAAGACACAGGGAAGCAGTTCATGTCTACTGCACATGCTACTACTTCTGGTAATACTAAAAACTTAGTACTGATATATTAAAAAATCACCAAAGATGATAATTCTTCCTCTGTATTAAAACTGATAATGGACTGTTGTCTTTTAGCGTTCTTCTCTGGGGACTCCCTACAGAGAGAGAAACAGAAGTTATCATCCAGCACAATGGAGGAAGGAACAGATACTAAATGTAGACAAAAATACTTATTGTCCTTATGATTCATCACATACATTATATCTGTTGCTCGGCATGTAATTGTTTCCAATGTTTTTCATTTGTTTTCTTTTTAAAGCTGCAACCCTAAAAGTGGCCACAAAAGACAAAGCCACCTACGCAGGTACTGTAAAAAGTCCCACTTTAACTTTCCTTCTATATGGAAGATTACCTAATAATATTTTTTAAAGATCAAACATGATGTAGGTTGAATGTTTAGACATGGAAATTAAAAAAAAATAGATTTACATTGTAGAAAATACGAGTTGATGAGAAGATGCAACTCTGACATCTGTAGGCTGCGGTGGCTGAGAGGTGCAATCGACAATTACAAAGCTTGAGACAAATTTACATTTTATAAAACAAATTTACATTTTATAAAACAAATTTACATTTTATAAAACAAAATTACATTAGCGAGACACTTTTACCAAAGAAAAAACAATTTAACAAGATGAGAAACACTTTTACAAAGCTAGAGACTAATTAACCTTTTATAAAACAAATTTACATTTTATAAAACAAAATTACATTAGCTAAACACTTTTACAAGAACTGAGACAACACTTTAACATTTCCCGAAACCCTTTAACATTTCCCGAAACCCTTTAACATTTGCCGAAACACTTAAACAAACTAGAGAATCAAACCGGAAAGGGAATGCCCATCATACCAGAAGTGACGTGCAAGTGATTGACACAAACTTAAGTTTGTTTTGGCGGATAGACCGCCGGTACCTATGGACGGTACGAGTGTGTTTGAGTGTGTTTATGGTCGTTAAACATGTTTTGTCCGTTCTGTGGAAACCACCACCAGGCTGCATCGTTATAGCCACACACACTTCTACAAACACACACACACACACACACACACACACACACACACACACACACACACACACAGGGGCTAGAGGGGGACACTCTGGACCGAACTGCCCGATTATTACGCCTTATTATTCTATTTATGAAGGAGATGTCCAGTCACCAGGGCGTGTGTGTGTGTGTGTGTGACACTGGCATTTGTTTTCAGAAGATATTAAGATAGTGTCGTCCGTTCCGGTAATGCAGTCAACTCAGCCGTCTCTCGCAATTGCTTGGTCAAATCAGCAGCTCTTCATTTTTGAGTGCGCAATTAATCGGGCCTTTACGGTAATCGCCGAGAAGCGGCACTGACGCTACAAGAGTAAAATAATGCATGTTTTTTCTGCTTTATTTGCGATATAAATCATTTGCACCATAAGTTATTAATAAAACTGACACTGTTTGACTCAGTCCTAGTTTGACTGCTACCAACAATAAAATGAAGTACTTTTATTGTGTACTTTTGGGGTAATACTCTCTCAAAGTACCCTCCTGAGAACAAAATCATGTCACTTCTGCTATATTTGATGAGAGATTAAATGATTTTTAGCCATAAATTCTTAATAAAATTGGTACTGTTGGACTCAGTACTTGTTAGACTACTACCACAAATACAATGAGCTACTTTTACTGTGTACTTTTTGAGTAATACTCTGTCAAACTCCCGTCCTGAGTACAATAATTCATGTATTCTGCTATATTTGATGAGGGATAAAAAAAATTTTTTTGCAAAATGTTCTACATGAAATTGATACTGTTGGACTCAGTACTACTTGGACTACTAGTACAAGTACAATCAAGTACTTTTACTGTGTTCTTTTGGATTAATACTCGGTCAAACTCCCGTCCTGAGTACAATAATTCCTGTATTGTATATGAACTATGAATTATTGTACTCAGGACAGGAGTTTATCAAGTATTACTCAAAAAGTACACAGTAAAAGTACTTCATTGTATTGTTGGTAGCAGTCAAACAAGTACTGAGTCCAACAGTGTCAGTTTTATTAAGAACTTATTGTAAAACATATTTTTATCGCAAATATAGCACAAAAACATGCATTATTTTACTCTTGTAGCGTCAGTGCCGCTTCCCGCCGATTAACGTAAAGGCGCGATTAATCGCGCTCTCAAAAATGAAGAGCTGCTGATTTGACCAAGCAAAAGTGAGAGAAGGCTGAGTGTAAAAGGCACAGCTCCACTTCCTACTTGGCGAACCTGTAACTTTCTCATGTGCACGAGAACGTATCTCTTGCGAACGAGAAAGTATATCGTGATGAGCAAAACCATGTCACTTGGCCCAGGTGGTTTCCACAGAACGGACAAAACATGTTTAACGACCATAAACACACTCGTACCGTCCATAGGTACCGGCGGTCTATCCGCCAAAACAAACTTAAGTTTGTGTCAATCACTTGCACGTCACTTCTGGTATGATGGGCATTCCCTTTCCGGTTTGATTCTCTAGTTTGTTCAAGGGTTTCGGCAAATGTTAAAGGGTTTCGGGAAATGTTAAAGTGTTTCGACACTTTGTCTCAGTTTCACTAATGTAATTTTGTTTTTATAAAATGTAATTTTGTTTTTATAAAATGTAATTTTGTTTTATAAAATGTAAATTTGTCTCAAGCTTTGTTAAAGTGTTTCACACTTTGTAATTGTCGATTGCACTTCTCAGCCACCGTAGTAAACGTTCCTGTGTGAAGGAGGCCTCACACGGGTAGTATGAAGCTACAGCCAGGAGAGATGTAGCTTAGCTTAGCCTAACTGGAAACAAATGGGGGAACATCTAGTCTGACTGTGTCCAAAGCTAAGCAGCACCTCAAAAAACTCAATAATTAACATCTTATTTGTATAATATGTGCAGAGACTGAAAGTGTAAAGACAACTATGTCTTGGCTAATGTCTAGCTAATCTGTTCCTGGCTTAGCTTTATATTTAAGTTAATATAAGAGTGTTATTATCGATAATCTCATCTAACTCTCGCAATAAAGCAGAAATGATTTTATGCAAATATAAGATACAATAAGGGACCTACTGTATAAGCTTAGAAAATGTTGATAACTAATCATTACATATTTTTACTAAGGGGTCCTGTCTTCCAGAAACAATACAAAGAGGACAGAAAATGTGAACCTGTGTATCTGTTTCTCAGAGATCAGTGCGAGTGACTCGGTCTTCAGCTTCTGCTCCTGCTGCAGCTGGTGGAAGTGGCTGCTGGGCCTCCTGCTCAGCCTGCTCCTCCTCCTCGGCCTCCTCTTTGGACTCATCGCTTTGGGTAAGACGTGCATTCTCTCTTTGCATGACCTCCATGCATGTCAGTCAAAACCATTTACATATCTGTCGTGGCTTCCTTCCTTATTTTTCTATCAAGCCACTAAACGCCTTAAACAGACATTTTTTACTCGTTTTCTTTCCTTTATATTTGTGTTACTTACAGTTGATGAGTTGCTTGGCCTCCAATGGTGGGATGATATTATACAATGGGTTTGCTCAAAATAAAATAACAAACTTTTACACATTCAACAAAGAAAAGAGGCCTTTACAATAGTCAAAACAAAGAGGCAAAACTCAAATAAAATAACAAACAACTTAGGTATTCTTCTTTCTTTGTTAATGCTTAATAACTTGATAACTGAAAGGGTAATCGAAAAACGGTGTCTCGACGGGGTCTTTCTAACAGGGTTAGAGGAGGCGCTGTGGGAATTGTAGTCTTTTATACTAACGTTGACTATTGACGTGACGATTAGGTGGCTTCTCTTATAAAAAGAAAATACTGGCTCTAACAATATCAATAATCATCTCTCTGGCCTCACAGGTGAACAAGTGAAACGCCTGCAGAACCGTGTCGAAGCTCTGGAAGCCATCACTGGCACGGCCTCAGCCAGGTCCGGCCGCCTCTCGGCCGCCTCTGGCATCAACATCATCGACCCGCTGGACTCCATGTACATCGAGAGGAGTTCTGCTGGGTCTACCCTGACCCGCTCTGACAATGGGATCAACCTGGGGGCAGCTGGGCCTGCAGTAGGCGCTGGGAGTGGGCCAGGGCAGGACAGTGCCGCCCTGCAGAGAACCGTGCAGCATCTGGTCAGGACTGAACTCCGCTCTGATGCTCTGAGAGGTACAGAAATATAACACACTAATCAGTTATATTACCAACAAATCAACCCCTGTGTCAGTGAAACAACTTCTTGTTCATATACTGTATATTGATTCACATTAAAAAATGTTTTTCTATTTTCAGATTCACTTGCATACTCACTAAAAGGGGAGAGAGGAGACCCAGGACCTAAAGGCATGTTTGCACAAATGATTAAGTCATTTGGAAATGTATATTTTGTTGATATCCATCATAAAGGCTGGCTGTTTCTTCACAGGTGATCCAGGGATGCTTGGACAAAAAGGTAAGCTACTGAGAACATGTCATGAATTCTTAACTTCAGCAATAGGTGATATTCATTAAGCTGTATAATGGCTTTAACTCCGGCTTTTGCAGGTGACGGTGGCTTTCCTGGCCTGCCAGGTGAGACTGAAAACTAATGTGCTATTTCCTTGTGACAAACTCACTGCTTGATCCTGTCTACTCATATATCTTGTTCTACTCATATATCTTGTCTCTATAGGCCCTCCTGGGCAGTTAGGGCACCCCGGACAGGATGGACCGAGGGGACCAAAGGGAAGTGCAGGTAGCGTTCACTTCACAGATCGTTGACTTGGTTCTTTGAGAACAAAAAACACTGGCAATAAGAACACATGGGCTGAGTCTCTCCTGATTTGTGACCAGGTGAACAAGGTTCTGAGGGTCCACCAGGCCAGAGGGGCCGGGATGGACCAATGGGCTCCCGCGGAGAGGCTGGACCACCAGGTTTGGGAGAGAAAGGAGACAGAGGTAGGTCATTTTTAGTTGAATTATCGCAAGTTACTCTTTGGGTTCAATCTTTGATAATAACAAGACCTGGGTTTTGGCAGGAACTCAAGGCGAGGCGGGACGTCCCGGTCTTGCTGGCCCTCCTGGTCCTGTGGGGCCAAAAGGTAAGGTCATAAGTCATAGAGGGATCACATTTAAAGACAATAGCACAGTTATTGCATATTTTAGACCATGTACAAATCACTTCAACATTAATTTCTTTGTTTGATTTAGGTTCTACAGGAGAGCAGGGTACCCATGGAATTCCAGGTAAAAACTCTAGTTCCACATGGATATTTATCTGTTAAATCCTAAGAGTGGCAGTCATGTGTTGAATCTGTAATGATTTGTGTGCAGGTGCTCCAGGTCCAAAGGGTTTCCAGGGAGAAGCAGGAGCCCCAGGAGCGCCTGGTACCTTTTAGAGTTACATAAGATGATGAAGTGATGGTGTCTTTGCATGAGACTAATAGATAATGTAACTGCAGTATTAATCAATATTATACTGTATGTAATAATTTAGTTCAGATCGACTTTTTTAGAGCGCCTTTGACACGTATTGTTTTTAATGCAGGTGATCGAGGAACACCGGGTATATCAGGAATCAAAGGTGACCCAGGAGAGAGGGGAGCACGTGGAATATCAGGTGTGTTAATGAATATTCACAATCACGAATAAAGATTCGAACAGCAGCTATTGCTTTTTAAAGAGCCCTCATAACTTCGTTTTCTGATGTTCTATTTAAACTCAAACACAATTGGTTCAAAAGCAATGTATGTGCTTTTTGCACAGAATACAAATGTTATTACACATTTGTTTAGCTTTAAAGTATATTAGTATGTTCCGATTAAAAAAATGTATCTAGTGTCAACAGAATTTGAAACCTATGAATTACTGTATCTTACAAAGGAAATGTTCATTTAAAACGCAATTGAATTAAATCTTCCTTAATACCATGCTACGGTCTAAATCTTGTTATCAATGACACCGGTGGCCAATACACTGTAGACAGCATCCAGTTGCTCACGAATGCTCGCACTCTGTAGGAACAATCCAACCCAGTCTCACGGCATTTCGTGTTATAGTCACGAAATTAATCTATTGATTCGTGTTAACCAACACGATTTCCCCATTTTTTTCGTGTCACAAGGAACGATTTTCAAAGCAATGTAAATAATAACAAATTAGAAAGAAAAAAAGATTTTTAAAAATACAGATTTCAGTATTCTGAGGCTGAGCCCCATTTATTTTCCTAGCGGACGGCAAAAAAAGTCAGACATTATACGATTTAAAATAAAAACAATAATCGTGGCTTAATATTGAGTACGAACATGTTTTTATGAACCGCACAGCTTCCGGTCTTCCAAGACCCGACCGGACAAAAAGACATGGTGCAGGCACGAAACACACTACCAATAGAAATACATTGCTTTTAAAATCGTTCTGTGTGACACGAAAAAAAGGGGGAAATCGTGTTGGTGAACACGAATCAATAGATTAAATGTCGTGACTATAACACGAAATGCTGTGAGACTGGGTTGTAATAGTTACATAAAGTAGGCCTACCTTTAACTGTAACTAAAACTAACATTCTGTATTTGATGTTTTTACATTTATTGTTAAAGGTGAACCAGGACAACCTGGACCACAAGGCCCTGGAGGACCAAAGGGATCTAAAGGAAGTGGAGGTGAGAAGAGGGATTTTCAAATACATTAATGAGATGACAAGATTGGAGGGAAATATATTGTATTATCCTCACCAGCTGAGTTATTCTGTATTCACCAACTACTATGACATTCTATCATGGCTGCCAGAAAGAAGTCCAAGAATATCTAGAGTTGTTCTTGAGGTAGATATTGAGATGTAATCAAGACTCTCCCTATGCAGGTGAAGCAGGCTTAAATGGACTTCCTGGTGCTAGAGGACCACCTGGAATTCCTGGAGATGTTGGTCCCAGAGGTACTACCACACATTTTTATGCACAATTCAACTGAGATCAGAAGGTAAATTGCTGATTTATGACGCACCTAGTTTTTTTATTGGGGTTCAAATGACACCTGTTTATGAGAGTCAAGATAAACACTTAAACTAGCACACGCTCAGGCACGCATTCACAACCTTTTTTTTAATCACCACAAGCATCAAAAAGAAATGGCTGCAAAATGTCCTTGCCAACACTCCCGGGAACTAAGAACCTCATCAAACATCCAACTATTGACACACTGTATCTATAAAAGGAAGTTTCATGATGTGATGGAATATAACACTGTCTTTCAGGTGAACCAGGAGCACCTGGTAAAATCATTGCTTCAGGTAAGAACAGCGCCAAAGCAATACTTACTAATTAGACTGATTAGATTTAAACCTTAGGAAAACTCAAAGTCTTGTAAATTGTAACTGGTCTCTTGCATTTTGTTTCCAGCTGGCTCTAATGCTGTTGCCATCCCAGGACCACCAGGACCTTCCGGGCCTCCAGGTCCTGCTGGAACCCATGGTCTGTCTGGTCCCATCGGCCCCGCTGGTCTCCCAGGACGACCCGGTAAATCCAAACTCTTTGCCGATGTTAAGAGTCAAAATGTTTTTCGATGGGTCAAAAGCTGACAGATGGATGGCAGATACAAAAAACATGTTGACATTTGTTTTTGTGACGGTACATTGATATCATAATTTAGGAACTAAGGGAGATCAAGGAGATCAAGGAGATAAAGGACATAAGGGAGATAAGGGAGAGCAAGGGAAACCTGGCGAGCCTGGGTCTGTCACACGTTCAGAAACCCCCGGAACCGACAGTGAGTACCTTATTACGTCTTTCATTTTTTACCTTGGCACTATTTAGTGGGATTATCAAAAATAACAGTGGGATTGGCAGTAATATGGGCACCTTCACCATCTATGTTTTCATTTCTAACAGAACCTTCCTCAGCTGCTAGCCTGCCTGGCCCACCAGGTCCTCCAGGGCATGTTGGAGCAACTGGTCCTCCAGGTCCTTCTGGTAAGTGAAAGGCTATTTGTAAGATATGAGGGCCTTTCCAAATGATCAGGATTGGTGCTTGGTTGAAATGAATGATTATTCAAATAATGTAACTCTTGTTTAGGTGAGGGTAAACAGGGTCCTCCTGGACGCAGGGGTCCTGCAGGAGAGCCAGGTAAAAAGTGTTTTTCATTATGCAGACACACAAATAGATTACTAGATCTTCAGCATAAAGTACAATTTAAACAGTGTCAACATAAAACGTTTTTTTTTTTGCTTTCTTCCCAGGAGTTGGTCTTCCTGGATCTCCAGGAGATAAAGGAGAGCCGGGCAGTTTTGTTCCTACCTCAGGTTGGTGGAAGAAATCTAATTTCAGATGCTTTATACATCCTAAGACACATGGACATGTGTTTATGTTTAGCCCCTACTTTACTAGCTTAGCCTGTTTGATGTGTTCTTTTGTTTGTCTTAGGAACCTTTTTTGCTGGACCACCAGGAACCCCGGGCCCACTGGGTCCAGCAGGTATGTTGGGTAAATGAAATGCTTTTGAAAACAGAAGTCTCTTACAAACGTGTTGATAGGACGGCATGTATAATGGATTCACACATATGAAAATGTACAAAAGTAATTGGAGAATGAGGCAGGTCTGATATTCTGATTCACAGCAATGTTCTGTTATCGTATTGTTTCTGATAGTAGTATAGTCTCTATAAAGTAAAGACTTTTAAAACAAACATATCTTAATGTACTGGTGATTGTTTCAGGAGAACCAGGTCAACCAGGACTTCCAGGGAGTCCAGGAAGTGCAGGCAAACCAGGTCATGGTATGTGAACAACTTTTGGATCATAGGCTTGTTGAAAAGAAGATGACCAAGAAAGGGTTTGCAAAATAGATGGCAAGCTATAATTCATGCAAAAATGTCCACCTACCATACATTTTCCAGCATTATCAGATACATTGTGTGGCTTTCAACAACCAGGTGGTGTTCAAATGTTATGAAAATATTCTGTCAGTCAACATTCATTGTCAAAGCTGTTTAACCTGATGTTAAAATAGTGTTTTGGTTTTCCAGGTCAGCCTGGACCTAAGGGACCTGAGGGTCCACCAGGCCCCGAGGGGCCAGAGGGGATCGATGGAAATAAAGGTACACTAAGCCAAATATTTTGACTATTTTATACATCATACCTCAAATATATTGATCTATAGCATGACCTTTACATTTTCATACATCATGCAGTCATTTGACCTGGGGTTGCAGTTTCTTTTTTCAATTACAATTTTTTTCTTGACATTTTATTGTGGATTGGTGTTGTCATCCCAGGCCCACCTGGACCACCTGGACTATCTGGACCACCTGGAAGAGATGGAAGCGGACCAACAGATGTGTACCTTGCAGAGTACCTTCAGAGTAAGTTGTCTTGTAAAATAATTGCATTTACTTATCATCTTCATATTGGATGCTTAACTTTTTCACCCCAATTTATCTTGGATGAACTGCATTTTAAAGTTCTTTGAAAGCTACTTTGAATAATTAAACCGTGTTAATGTTAATATTTTTTTCTTCTTCTTTTTTAGTCTGACATTTTATTTGAGTGATTCTGTTGTCATTTCAGGTAGCTCATTCAGTCCAGGCGCCCCAGGGCCACCCGGACCACCAGGTGCTCCTGGAAGAGATGGAACTGGATCTGGATCACCTGATGTGGGCCAGTACATTGCAGAGTACATTCAGAGTAAGATATTTATTCATGTTACACTAAGATTGTATGAAACAGAGTGCAACGTCCATTGATCTACATGTGAAACCTTGTGTTGACATGCAGGTGATAGGATCAGGCAGTACCTGGCAGGACCCCCTGGGCCTCCTGGGCCTCCTGGTTCTACAGGGGACGGGCTGGTGGATGATGTGGCAAACAGAGTGATCGCCTACGTCCAGAGTATGACCAATTACATTAAAATGTGACCTGTATTGTGTGTTAACCTGCGGTATTTCTAACAGTAGTTAAAACGTATGTAACATGGTTCTCCTATCTAGGCCAAGGTAGAGGATATGACAGTAGTCCTGGCCCTCCTGGTCCTCCAGGTCCTCCTGGCTCCATCTCTATCAATGATGTCATCGACGTGTTACAACGTAAGTCTCATTTGAGGGTGGTTTAAATCCCCAATTGTATTGCAGATGGCAAAAATTATTATTTAAATGGCATTCAAGAGGTTTATTGCACTGCATATGTGAAGTGGACGTAGTCACAGTGACTTGACCTATTAGTTATAAGCCATAAACAGGGAGAACACTAGAGACCTGATCTAGTGCAGAAGCCTTTTATCGTATATTTTAATCTGGGACCATTATTGACAAATAAACATGCTCTACAAAAGAATACGTAAAATGTCACCTATTACGCAAAATGCATAATCCGCCCACGGCCCTATCGTCCCCTATCAGAAACGTTGCTATCAGAAACAATGTGCGACGTGTTTTACACGTAATATGGTTTGTTTTTACATAAGCAAGCATCGTTAACACTCAGAGCTAACGCTGTACTGGAGAGAATATGTGTAAAGAAGCAGGATATAAAAAGGTACTCACCTTGTGGTAAACCGACAAGAGAAAAAGCATTTGAGCTCCATACTGTTTCAGAAATAATCCTTGATGTGGTTTGGAACATACTATGGCATTTAATCACGGCAGCGTTTAGCTGAGTTTCAGCCATGGATGTATAATAAGAACTGGATACAGCGTCGGAGGCGGGGTCTCGTTCTTTCCTATGAGAGCTGCTCATTGGCGCATAAGGACAAAATGGCCCAACTTTTGAGAGAGCGAAACGTCACAGATTACCCGTCATGCCTGGCTGTCAGAGCAGAAGAACCCGTATGTGCGCTCACACAGCATGCGCCCCTTAAGCCCCTCCCCCTGAGCTCCCACTCTCGGCTCACTAGAATGAATGGAGAGAGAAAATAAATCTAGATTCGGCTTTTAGTGCATTTTACAACTTTAAAGGTCCCATGTCATGGCCATTTCTACTGATCATAATTCCATTGTTGAGGTATACTAAAATAGATTTATATTGTGCAATATTTCCAAACTCACATTGTTTCTCATACAGCATCTCTGTAAAGTATGTGTATTCACCGGTATTCACTCTCTGTCCTAAACGGCTTGTTCGAGCTCCTGCCCCCCCTCCCTGTGAGCCCAGTGTGCTCTGATTGGGTGGGACGTTGCGAGGCTCGCTGCTCAGTGAGCTGGCTTACTGGTGTGGTTTCCGGGTCGGCGATACAGCGGGACAGCGCGAAACTCATCCTGAGCACACACAAAAACTCATAACCGAAGTAAAAACAATAAGTGTGGCTTGATATTGAGTAAGAAAAAGGTTTATAAACGCTGTGAGAATGGGTCTGCGGAGAGCATTTCTCCGCGATCCCAACTCGTCTATTACCAACCAGGGAGCTCTATGCAAGTCAATGGGACTCCCTGTTAGTTGAAAATGTACGCTAAAGGTCCTGGTGTGTGAGGAGCTCCGCGGATTGGTCCATTTTGGTTCCGGGTACCACATGACGTCATGCGGTTCGCGGAAGAAACAAATGGAAAAAGAGAAATCTCCAACGAGGCGTTCTGGGGCAGCATAGACAGGTATTTTCTGTGTTAGAGTTTTACTCGCTACAGGGTGTACTTTGAGGGTTTTTGACTCTACACAAAGCCGTGGCAGCACATCACTCCCACCCTCATCCACCTACACTGGTTGCCGGTCAAGTCCCGCATATCCTACAAAGTACTCCTCCTTACCTACAAGTCCCTCCATGCCCTTGCCCCCCAGTACCTATCGGACATCCTTCACCCACATGCCCCACCCCGGAACCTGCGGTCCTCAGACTCTGGCCTGCTTACCACCCCCCGCACCAAACTGCGAACCTTCGGGGACAGAGCCTACAGTGTGGCAGCCCCCACCCTCTGGAACGCTCTCCCTGCGGAGATTCGCAACATCCCCACACTCGACGCCTTCAAAAGGGCCCTCAAGTCCCATCTGTTTGCCAAGGCTTTCGGCCCCTAATCGATCTGTTGTTTTGTCTGTCTGACTTTTGTTTTGTTATGTTTGTTTTTGCCCTATTACTTGTAAAGCGACCTTGGGTCCCTTGAAAGGCGCTATATAAAACCAAGCTATTATTATTATTATTTGCAGACCGTTTACACGCATAACAACCTTCATAACACACAAGGGGACGGGTAATAACCGGAAAAGCATGACATGGGACCTTTAAGGACCTAATGATTCTAATAAGGGCTATAAAATAGTTCATACTGGGTAGTTTATTTAGTTTAAAAAATATATATCTGCTGATTTACAGACGTCACATTTACAGACTTTCCCCATGTTAGTCAATGGGAAAAAGTATTTCTGGGCCCAGTGACGTCACGGACTGATACGGAAATGTTAGTACCGCCGTTTGGACACAACAGATTTTTTCGTCAGAGTCCGGAGCACTTCCTGGGGGCTTGGTTTCAGCTGGTAGACAGCCTTCTCTTCACAGAGCTCACTCCTTGCAGGCGCGCTCCAAAGGGGCGTGGCCAGCAGCAGCTCGGTTCCATTTAAAGCTACAGACCCAGAATCAGCACTTTTGTAACAGGTCTGAAATAGAGGGGTATGAGGCATGGCTAGAATGGGTGATCTGTTTGGTATTTTGAGCAAAACACTTCATAGACATGTTTTTTATATATCTGAGACCTGAAATATATGCCTAAAAATAGTTTAGTAGGAGACCTTTAAAACTAGAGATTGAGACCTTAAACTTTAGGTAAGTGTTAACTGAAATTATACATAAAGTGAGAAGTAGTGCCGTTTATTCGTAGACTTCTATAAAATCCAACTTCTATTTTTAAACCTATGGAGTCCCTCCCTGCTGTATATTAGAGATAATACAAGTTAAAGGTTACTCTGCCTTACCCGATCTCACTGAGGAACAATCAGCAGCTCTTTAGAGCGTAGCCTGGAAAATATTTGCCAAAATGTTATTTGTGTCCAGGAGAAGACGTGAGGAGATATGTTGCTGGTACCCCCGGTCCACCAGGACCCCCTGGTGCTCCGGGCCACGGCAGCTACAGAATCAACACCCAGGAGGTGGCTGAACATGTTCTCACCCTACTGAATGGTGAGGGTTTGATGGAACTGCAGGTTTACATTTAAGAGGTGTTATGATGAAAGAACCTGACTTTGATTGAATGTGGATCCTGTCTGTCTCTAGATAGGCAGGTGTTAGGTGTCCCCGGACCCCCTGGAACCCCTGGGCTACCTGGAGACTCATACCCAGGTAAGAAACACAATAAGAACCCATACAGTCATTCCATTTACTAGTTCTCTTAAGCGAATGGGTGTTCATTTTATTTTTTCAACTTCAATCAGTTGTGGGTCCTCAAGGGCCTCCAGGTGTCCCTGGTATCCCTGGTAGAGACGGTCAACCTGGACCACCAGGATTTAGCAACGACATTCGTGACTACCTGCACAGTAAGTCTGAGTAACAACATTAGTTTAAGCTATTTATGGGGGATGCATCGGAGTAATTCACATTTGTTCTGCCTCCACATCTGTACCATTATACCAAAGGTGTGGAGTTTAGAGGTTTACCAGGTCCCCCCGGTCCCCCTGGACCAGAGGGCCCCCCTAGTGGTCTCCACGGACTGGTTTCCTTTGCTGAGTATGCAAACAGAGAACCACCCACAGCAGAACAACAACAATACATCAACAGTGAGTTTAAAAGAATACTTACTCAAAACCTAAATGAGATTAATTAAGAGTACAATCTTTACATAGACCTCAACATAAATGTTACTTCATAAAGCTGTCTTCATCAAAGTCACATATTGTGACCCAATGTTTGCTGAGTCATTGCTCCTTATGCCATCATGTTATACTGTATTGTCTACAGGTGATGGTATGAGAGGAACTATGTTTGGACTTCCTGGTGCACCAGGCCCTCCTGGACCCCCAGGACACAAGGGAGAGCCAGGTGAATCTGGCACAAGGGACAGCATCCTGGATACTGGTGACTACTCCAGCATGGCTGTCAAAGTAACGGATTACATCAAATGTAGGTGATTTAGAGGAAGTTTAGTGTAAACCTCATCACTAAATGGTCAATACCTGAACCTTGCTTTTAATATAATACCATTTTAATAGTTACCTGAGCGCTACTGAACTTTACTGTCCCCTTCATGCAGCCCACGGTCTGCTCCGTGGTGTTGCTGGAAACTCTGAACGTTTTGTTCAAGGACCTCCAGGACCTCCTGGACTTCCTGGAATGCCTGGACAAAGCCAATTGGCTAGCTCCCGTGAAAATATCATGGATGTTGTGGAATACATCAAATGTAAGTCGATATGAGCTTTATGTGCTTTTCTTTTAAAAAGCCAGTAGCTTTTAAGAAATAATTGTACTGAGAAGTACCAAAAAGGTCGCTGAATCTAGCAAGACAATGGCCAAGTTGGCAACACTGTCTACTGCTGTCCACACGACTGTCACAGGATGTATTGAACATTTTAGGTCCCAAACACAGAACATAAGGAAAGCCGGTATATATAACTAAAGGTGTGATTAAGAAGATGTAAAGCTGGCAGGCAAAAACACAAGAGCAGCAGGGTTATTACACACCAACCCAGTCTCACGGCATTTCGTGTTATAGTCACAACATTTAATCTATTGATTCTTGTTCACCAACACGATTTTCCCCTTTTTTTCGTGTCACACAGAACGATTTTAAAAGCAATATATTTCTATTGGTAGTGTGTTTCGTGCCTGCACCACGTCTTTTTGTCCGGTCGGGTCTTGAAAGACCGGAAGCTGTGTGGTTCATAAAAACATGTTCTTACTCAATATCAAGCCACGATTATTGTTTTTATTTTAAATCGTATAATGTCGGACTTTTTTTGCCGTCCGTGAGGTAAAGAAATGGGGCTCAGAGCCTCAGAATACTGAAATCTGTATTTTTAAAATCTTTTTTTCCTTCTAATTTGTTATTCTTTTCTAAATAACACACTGTTATTTACTCAACAATAACACACAATTATCCTTGTTTTTATTTATTTGTTTAATTCTATAATCTCTGGCTTTTTTGGCGTCCGTCAGGAACTGAATTTCAAAATAAAATAACCGGAAACATACACACCCACTGAACTGATTACCCAAGATCCTCAGCTATGGTTTAAGCTCGGTGATTGGATTGTTTAGCCGCAATGCACGTTGGGATATGGTGTTTATGCAATATGAAATCCGAAAAACATACTTTAATCCGAGTGTGCTTGCTTTTCTCTTTGAAAGTCATCACATAACGGCATTGTAATACACGGTTCGGCTGCATTAAATATTACACATCTGCCGTAGTTCTTTATTTATAGAGCCCTGATTAGAAGACCTTTGGACAAACTGGAAGAAATGCCGCCGAAACTGAATACGTGACGTGGATCATAAATATATCAGCAATTAAACAACATCTTCAATTTCTCTTCACACAATACGTCTCCTTGCAGTATCAATACTAATTCGGCTGACTTTTATATTTGATCCAATTGGTAGATAGGTTATATTTACACCATAACGGTGCACAGCTGATATAAAAGGACTTGTCGTTTTTAAAGATATTACTGATTTTCTTTGAATTAAAGAATGTAAATACTGAGTTGAGAGCAGTGGCGTCGCCTGGCCTGGGCATCCGGGGCTTTAGCCCCGAATGTTTTTTCTGTAGCCCCGGACAATTCTCCCTCAATAATATAATACATTAACCGTGCTTTACGTGAACCTCATCATGACACAAGAGAGGATGGCAGGACTGTAATTTCCCGTGTTCAGTGAATGCAACAGAGGCATGACACCAGACCAATCAGAGAGTTGCATGGAAATAAACGTGTGCTTGTGTCATTCAAGCTCGGCTCTGTGTGTGTGTGGCAATAGCGCATTTAGTGTGATAGAGAGAGAGAGAGGGAGAGAGAGAGAGAGAGGGACCGGTGCCGGTGCCAGCAGGGACCGTGTTGTTAGCATCTGGTTAGCTAGCTGATAAACGGACATAAGGAGCTGTTTGTTCCACAACAAGCTGGAGGAGAGTCCTCTGCTGACAGACTGAGAGACTCAGGTGAGCTAAAGGACTCTCTGAGTGTTTAGATAGTTTACTTTAGTCTAAGTTATCTCAGTGGGTCTCAAACGGTTTGGTCACAAATGATTCAAAAGATTATTTCCGCGGCACACGTTTATATGATCATTATAGTTATAAAAAAATTAAAGAGAATAAAGGAAAAACAGTTATGAAATACTATATGGCAGTAAAACAAGAATAGAGTTTAAAAGGGGAGTGATTTGTAAAATATCCATAAAGAAAAAGTAAATCTGTTTACAGTTCTGTTTCAAATGGGTGTTGAGAGAGGTATCCATAGTTCTCTTAATGTTGCTCTCAAAGTGCACCAGATTGATGCTTTTAACTTCAATATTTAAAAAAAAATCTTCCCGGGGGAGCATCCCCACGGACCCCCTAGAGGAGGTTAGGTTCCCCCCCCACTCATAAAAAATAGCACTTTACCCCTGCCTAACTGATTATCGAGCCTTCATTGTAACAGTCGCGGGTATACTGTGTGTGTGCGTGTGGGGAGTGTTGCAGTAGAATATTCCACTGTAGCGCCGCCGCCACTGTGGGCTAAGCCCCGAATGTTTTCAGGTCCAGGCGACGCCCCTGGTTGAGAGAATAGTCAGGGGTTTTGGGTGATGGGAGGCACATCTAAGGATTCAGAATTTCAATAGCTTACCATTAAATGACGGATATACCTTTCTGTCTGTGATGTTTTACAAATCAGATATTAATGTGTAGAAGTAAAACATGTCAAATAATATAGCAATATCCTGTAAAATGATGTGAAAACATGAATAAAACTACACATCTTCAGATGTTATACATACATAAGTGTCCTACACTAATAATAAAAAGTATAATTTGTTGTGTTAACACTTTAAACTTGACAGTTTTTTAACCCTAGTGCTTTAACCTAGTGGTTAAAGCACGTTATTGAATTATTTTTTTAATATGTTATATTTTATGAAAAAAATATTAAGAGTACATACAAAATAGGGGGAAAGTAGTAGGTCAATGATAGAAATATAGAATATAAAAAATCAAGAAGATACTGTAAGTGATCTCTACAATAAAACAGTTTAGTGCCGGATGTATAAAGATATTAATATGAGGATGTGCAAAACAGACAAACTAATTAACCTTTATTAAAACATTAAAGAATAATTTAGGTTAAGGTCTTCTTTTAAATAAGAAAAAAGCTTTGGGGGTATCTACAGATAAATATTAAGCCTGACAAAGTACTTAACGTCTAATATATTGCTTTCCTGCAATGTTAACTATGTTGAAGCACTTATTTTAACTGATATTATACATATTAATTATACTCTTATAAGATGTATGTAGATAGTATAAGAAATGTGCAGAATATGACAGTTTAATGGTGGAGGTATACACACATATTGATAGATGTCTTGTTGAGGAACCTGCGATCAAGTTTTTCATTCATTGCATAACAACACCGTAGTTGTGTATAATATGATGTGTCAATAAACCTTTGAAAATCTTGAAATCTTGAAAGGGATATGCAAAATAGCCATTATATACAGTCTTTAATGAACTATTAGTAGAGAATAACGAGTAATGAATATACTTTATAGGGATCTGCAGATAAATGTTTAGTCTTCTCAAGCACCAACTATCAAATATCTCTCCTGATTGTTGGCACTTGACAATCACCTTCCCTGAATTTTACTCAGGTGTAACTAAAGTCTGATTTAAGGGTTGTTTATATTTCACATCATTAATCAGAATCTGCAAAGTAACTAAAATAAATGTAGTGGAGTAAAAATACCAGGTTAACCTCTGAATTGTAGTGGAGTAGAATTACAAAGTAACAATGAGCTGTCATGTGGGTATATATTAATGCTGCCCAATATGGACACAAGCAATTTTCACCCATGTATTAATTATATGTTTTAAATTTGATAACACCAATGTCTTTAATACTGGCAACTTCTAATTGTGGGAAAAACGAAAACGTTCCCAGTAGAGACGTCCCATAGAACATTTTGCGAAACACAATAGCCAGCATGTGTAGTTCTGTACTCGATTCCCGTTCGAGTCCAGTTTTGGATAGTCTGCCGCGGTTTCGTTCCATTTCAAAGAGCTGTTTGACGCTCGGCATAACCTTGGCGCAACATCCAATCTCAGAGTTTGAAGATTAATCACGGGGACTGTAGTCCCAAACGATAGCTGAGGATTATGGGTAGTGTAGTGTCTTCTGCCATCCTAAACTCCTAAATGTTTTTCGGATTTCATATCGCAATAACACCATATCCCAACGTGCATTGCGGCTAAAACATCCAATCATCGAGCTTAAACCATAGCTGAGGATCTTGGGTAATCAGTTCAGTGGGTGTGTATCGCAATGATGCTCGAAATGTCCCATATAGGCCTACGTCTGTTTCCGGTGACTTTATTTTGAAATTCAGTTCCTGACGGACGCCAAAAAAGCCAGAGATTATAGAATTAAACAAATAAATAAAAACAAGGATAATTGTGTGTTATTGTTGAGTAAATAACAGTGTTTTATTTAGAAAAGAATAACAAATTAGAAGGAAAAAAAGATTTAAAAAATACAGATTTCAGTATTCTGAGGCTCTGAGCCCCATTTCTTTTCCTCGCGGACGGCAAAAAAAGTCAGACATTATACGATTTAAAATAAAAACAATAATCGTGGCTTGATATTGAGTAAGAACATGTTTTTATGAACCACACAGCTTCCGGTCTTCCAAGACCCGACCGGACAAAAAGACGTGGTGCAGGCACGAAACATACTACCAATAGAAATACATTGCTTTTAAAATCGTTCTGTGTGACACGAGAAAAAGGGGAAAATCGTGTTGGTGAACACGAATCAATAGATTAAATGTTGTGACTATAACACGAAATGCCGTGAGACTGGGTTGTACACACAGGTAGAAAGAAGGCGGAGCAGGCAATCACAAAGGCCGGAAACATGAAGACAAGAAGTATAACCGGACAAGACACAAGGAGAGTGTAATACAAAATAAAACAGGAAACACAAAGGACAATATCATGACAGCGATGTTAAAACGTTATACCGCACCTCTGTTTAACTTTGATTGAATATCCAATGTTACAAATCTAAACAAACTACAATAAAACACAAGTAGTAAAAGAAGTGGTTGAAATGATTCCTTACTTTGTCTCTTATCTTCCAGCTCAGGGTCTGCTACGTGACATAGATCAAAACCACAATGAACGTGGCATCCAAGGTCCACAAGGACCACCGGGCCCTCCAGGTCTACCTGGACACAGCCAGTTGTTTGGGTCCCAAGAAAATGTCATTGATTTAGTGGAATACATAAAAAGTAAAGAATTATCTACCTAAAAATTGTAACAATTAGAAAAGCTGCTTAAAGACATAGGTATCCTAACTGAGTTTTCCTCCGCAGAAAATGGAGCCATTGTCGGACCGCCTGGGAGACCAGGACAGAAAGGGGACATTGGGTTCCCGGGGCCCAAAGGAGAGAGAGGTAGGTCTGTTATATCTCACACAGGCTCCGCCCTCTACTGGACTTTATGGGTACTACCTCTCAACCATACTATGCGAGCATTCATCAACTGAAATATCTATAACCGTAGCCGGCCCCCTGGGGCGGGCCTACCTGAATGCGCGCGCAAGCCCACCATATATAAGGCGGCCTCGCCTCCTGGCTGTCATCCTTTTATTTTCAGCGAGCAAGGAAACAACTGAACTAAGACGAGAAAAGACAGAAAGAAGAAGTTTTCCGGCGGTGATGACTATCCGTCTGGGCTTCTACGGCCCGGCTCGTCCGACGCAGCCGGCCTTTGTTTCGCCCCCCTTGCCAGACATCTGGCAGTGTGTGGAGGCGACATGGCGACAGCCACTTAGAACGAAGGCTCCAGTGGCAACGTGGGTGGGAATTCTCAGGGTGCAGGGCCGCTCGGACACGGAGTGTCCCGGTTTGCCCCGGTTTGCCCCCCCCTTGATGAGAGCCTGACGGCCCATCTGCTTCCGCAGGCAGCCGGGTGGGCAGAGGGGAGGAAGCCTCTGCCCCCGCTGCCGTGTGACCGTGAAATCCTAGAATATCTGGATAAGATGTTCAGGCTCGGGGCGTAGATGGCAGCAGCGGCCAGTAATCTCGGCGTGTTGGGTGTCTCGCTGAGTTGGGAGCGATTATTCGGACCGCTGCGTGGGCCAGATGAATAATCTGGTCCACGGTATGGCTACCGCAGCTGGACTTGTGATGTCCCTGGCCACAGTGGCGTCGCGTCACGTGTGGCTGGGTCTGACCGCACGGTCCAAAAAGGACCGGGATGATCTCCTTGGGGCCCCCGTATCCACGGAAGGGCTCTTCGGGTCGATCACCTCGGTCACCCAGCACTTCAGTTGCTTGGAGGAAGTGAGGGCGCAGCTCAGCCGCATGCTGCCGCTGGCTCATCCTCAGGCTCTTCCTCGGGGGAGAGAGCGCCCGGCGGTGGTAAGACGGAGAGAAAGGCGCCGGTATAGAGCCCCCGTGGCACCCGTTGCTCCCTCTGCCTCCGCGGTTCGTCCCGGAGAACCGGCTCAATACCGGCACTCGCGGGGACGGGCTGACCGACCCCGACAGGCTCCCGCTCCGCCTTAGCAAAGGGCTTCTGGGTGGGGTGCACCGTCCTCCAGAAGCTGACTGGCGGTGGGAGGAAGCGTCCCGGCGGAGAGAGTCACTTTCTCCACCCAGGACGCGAGGGCGAATCCCGCCTCCTCCCTGTATGATGCATCTGTTGTTACACGCTCTAATAAAAATGATTGCATGTATACCAGTCTAAGTGTCATTTCTCTCCACAAATCCACACTTCCACATAATGTTAACCATACAGATTCCCCACTCGCTGCCCCAGTTGTAACTCCAGTAAAGGAAGCAGCTAGTGGGCATGCGCATGTGAGAGTGATAAACCGCGCTATGCGGGTACAGGGGCATTATGGCAGGCGTGTTAGGGTTAGGAGACACACATCGCCGAGTGTAAAAACTCTGCTTGATGCATTTCACCGTCTGGGTGAATGCATCATGGCGGAGCGCTCCCTGTGGGTCAGCATGTATTTGACCCCCCCCCTGGACATAGTGCACTTATGTTTTCCCATGCTCCTTAGGGACCTGGGAAACATGGTGCGCAGTAAGCCCCATACAGGGCTGGAGGACTCTCCCTGCCTGCCTATGGGCCTATGGGCAGACAGGGAGAGCCCTCCTCACTGTTTTCCAGGCACACTATTCACGAGGTAAGCGTGTCTGAGTGTGCCCTACCAGCCAGGTAAACTGCGGCCCCCACTTCTCCACGGTCACAAGCGGGGAGAGGGGGTTGCGGTGCAGGGGCTGGTAACCAAAAGCCGGTCAGGGGCAGTGTGGTGACTCGATGTTGTTGGACGACAGGGCGTTTAGGCATCAGGGCTCCACCCACTGTACCCATAGAGTCCAGTAGAGGACGGAGCCTGTGTGAAATATAACGGTGGGTTACGTATTGTAACCCTGTTTATATAAGCACAGGCGGAGTCCTCTACTCGGGGCCCTGTCTTTCCTATGCTGCTTGCTGAAGAGAAGTGTAGGATGATAGCCAGGAGGCGAGGCCGCCTTATATACGGTGGGCTTGCACACGCATTCAGGTAGGCCCGCCCCAGGGGGCCGGCTACGGTTATAGATATTTCAGTTGATGAATGCTCGCATACTATGGTTGAGAGGTAGTACCCATAGAGTCCAGTAGAGGGCTCCGCCTGTGCTTATATAACTAGGGTTACAATACGTAACCCATTGTTCGTAGACCATGGTTTAAGTTAATTTGGGCACCGACCTGGCTAGTATTTAAGAAAAGACAGAAAAAACGGTCCTTCAAGGTGTGCTGCTGTCTGTAGCCGCCGTGTTCAGCCAAGTAATCATAGCTACAGCTCTACGATATAGCTAGCTAACAAGATTTTAGCAAATTATTGAGTGCTTATCTTATTTTTAACACTTAACATGTTGGCTTCATTTCCAGAAAACAAGTTATTCAAGATTACTTTACCTTCAATATGATAAACCAATAGACAGTGTGTGAAAAACAAAGCTAGCAGGATTAGCATGAACAGGCTAATGTTAGCTTGCTAACATGATTTTAGCCTGGATTAGTTTATTTGAAGCTTCAAATACTTTCTACGAATATTTTAGAATGTTTGATTCGACTTGCTTGGACAACTGGAAGGTGAATGTTTAAAGCACGTCACATCAAGCAACACTTTAATCAAACTTTTGTTTCACAGGAGAATCCACACTGACTGTTAAAAGAAGGAAGAGGAACGTTCGAGTGTAACTGTCGACTTGGTTGGTAAACGTTTTATGTGGAGTCTGGTGTGTATAAAGATGATGAATGTACACAGTTACAGTTGTTATGATAGTATTTTTGTATTTCTGAATGTCTTGTGTGTAATCAAAGACTGTATAGCTTTGAATTAGCTTGTTTGATACACTGTATTGAGGGGATATCTTATATTTGTGGGATTTCATGAAGTTGTCTTTCATCTGTTCATACTTTCTTATTCAACTTTTTTTTCTATCAGTGCTTTCTTTTTTTAAATCTACAATTGTTTATAGAAGATTTTTCTCACTGTCAGATAATTACATGTATTAATAGGCAGAAAGACTGGACAACTGTAGTACAGAGGAACATGTTTATTTACAGCAAAATGAAAATCTACATTACACAAGTATTCTAAAAACTATACATTTATTTAAAAAAATGCATAATGCTTTTGATATGGATAACATTGTTTCAGTCAACATTCAGAGTTTATTTTTAATTTTTTTTTGAAGAATAAAACAGACAACAGACCAACTGGTTATTTTGTAATGATATTGTTGTATTCTGCAAACCTCTTCTGAATGAATAAGCTACAGATGCTGCATTGTGGGGGTTGCAGTTTCAGCAGAGAAAGATTCGTAAAAGGTGCACAGCACTTTGATGCAATTTTTGTACATAAGAATTAAAATACCTTACCTCTCAATAGCCAATCATAAGGAAATTAGATGATAGAATGACCCAATCACAAGTTAGGATGGCCTAAACCAGTCAGGTCCATTTTTGTTTGTTTTCACAACCGCATCGAATATTACATTGCTTTGACATCATTCATAATACATCTGCCTTAATAAAAATAAGAAATGCTAAGCGCACCGTTTGTTTCTTTGAATACAGATGCAATCATTCAAAAATGTGCTTCAGAGCTGCACATTAAACCATAAGCCTTACCAAAATCTTTAAAGGCGATCACATCGGGTATACAGTATATCTATACAGCTGTTTTAAAGTATTAAGGCTATTAGCTAGCACGACAATGAAAACAGTATTTCAATAAGAAAAATCCGATATCAAGGACATGCTGGGCAGCAAAAACATTATGATGAGCCATATGAACCAAAGGAAATACACAGGATTCGTCATCATCAGATTATCGTTTAACTGAACAGAAATATGTTGGATTTTGTAAGGCAGGCTTTAGAAACTCTTACAAATGTCTTCACATTTTCTGAAGCGACATCAATGAAAAGTCCCTGAATTATGCTCCAATTTCTGCTTGACAACAATAAAGTGGTGTTACCTAAAAAACATAAAAACCAGAGCAACAAACAGGTACATAAATGCGGCAGTCTTTGTTTCTGCCCCACAGTGGTTTCCTAACAATGACCCTTTGTGTACTGTATGTAAACACCATCTCTACTGTATGCAACGCTAACTTTCTGCTGGATGCTAAAAACTCTCACGCTCGAGACAGGAAGGCATTCTGATAAAAAACCTGTAAAGAAGGAATCATTTCTGCTGGAAAAGATTCTTTGGAAGTTATGCATCATTTAACCTCAAATCAGCCTAGAAGAGATATGCAAGATACAAATATATCACCTTAAGAGAGTTAAATGTGTTTCCTATAGCAGAAGTACATCTATTTTATGATCAATTATAAATGATAAGGTTGCTATTTAGTATTTAGCCATATGAAATGTTAAATAAGTGGTATAAAAAGGCTATCCTTACTGAGAGCAAATGTCTACATGCGAGAAAAAGAGCAGCAAATACTCATTTGAAATTGCTTGGATTTAAAAGCCAAACAGATAACATTCTACAGGCACTGGATTATTTATTATAAAAACAGTTCAATCATGGAAGGAAGGTTGGGCAGAGAGATACTTCACTTTGAGGCGAGGATCGAAACACTGAATCTGAAAATCTCCTTCATATCTCCTGACATCCTCGAACTGTTTTCAGAGGATGAAGGCAAGGCAGCACGGGCTCTTTACTGTCGGTTTGTGTGTGTGTATGCTCATCACGTCCATGTCTGTGCACGTGTGCCAAGGTTTCATCTAGAAACCCGTGGAGTGGACGGAGGGGATGGGGTAGAACTTGGAGATGCGGCTCTGGGAGGAGGGGTTAAGGCACTCGGACTCCCCGCTCATCTTGAAGAACACTTCCTGTTCCTGCAGCTTCCTGGCAAACTCCTCCTCCAGGGCCTACAGGACGCACACAGGAAAACCAAAACGGTTATTCAGCAGTAGCCCTCAATTATGGGTCATTTAAACACTTTGGCAGAAATCCTTTTACGCTACCTGTCTTTTCAGTACTGAAACGTTAGAAAGGCTAACTCCAGTAGGTGACTTCCCATGCAACCAACATTAGTTAGCTAATTTCCTAACATTTCTTCACATGCAAAGCTCAGATCACTGTCTGTACGTTTGTATGCACTAATCTTAGCAGCATTATAAGGTATTAGGCATATTAAGTTAGCAATTTCTGTCTTTGAAGTGCTTCTCCATGAGGGACTACACTTTTTTAAATGATTGTACTTTAGCTGCTGGTGTCAATAGGAAACAGGTCCCAAAGAATTGCTGTTTGTTTAAATATTTGAGTTTTTCCGCTTTGAGAGGTGATCTGAACACGCGTGCGTTGTTAAAGATGGTCTGACAAGGTCCCAGTGTTAGACGCAGTGTTGGAACTGAGTTGGGCCCTCCAGGTTTTCATAATGGTCATGTGAATAAAAACTACAAATTGGACAAATGGCAATCGTGACAGCTAGATGAAAATATGTAGCTTTCATCCTATCACTTTGGGGTAGAGCAGAAAGGCTGTCTGACAGCAAAGGGGGCTATAATATGTTTTGCTGTTGACATACTCTAGCTTCTGTGTCTTTTTCTCCAAACTGCCATTTCCTGTATGTTATACACTGACTATATAGGTGTACTTCAAATAACCACACTTCAAAGTTATCCAAACTATCCTTTTAAAATAGCAATATATTCCGTTTACATCAGTTTGTATTAGTAATGGGGTAAAGTTTTGTGCGAGTACACTGCAGGCTGAGGGAACAGATACTCTACCTCAGGGATGGGCAAATGGCGGCCCGGGGGCGCGTTTGTGTGTATTGTGTTTGTTTCCCGGGGAAACACAAGAAACACCGGCTGTTGTTATGCCTGCTGTGACGTTAAGTTGCCGCTTGTAATTATGCCTTTACAAGCTTACAAGTTGTATTTATCATCTGAATTTGGCGAAACAAGTTTAATATTCTAAAAACCAAGACTTTGTTTATTTGAAATCAGATGAAAACAAACTGTCATGGACCCTGCCGTATATGATTAATAAATGCTATTCATTCATAATTTCAGCGGGAGGGAGGGGGAGCGGCGCTGAGGAACAGCAGAGTGCGGGTTGACAGGTGCCTGTGTTCATTCCCCTTATTGTGGAATAAGGGGAATGCAGAGTCAGGCTACAAGTGTCTTAGGTTCAAGTTAGACAACTAATGTCTGGGTTAGTGTTCATGACTTCATGTTTATGTCATCTTAATGGTTCATCTCAATGCACACACATTTTCCGTGCTTTCCAATAGTTTAAAATAGTTTTATTCCACTGTTAAATAACCTGTTCAATACAAACATGCCACTAGTAAACATTAAATAACATTTCTGTGAACTGATATTTGTTTAGTGAGCTTATTAGAGGATGTTCCTTGAAAGATTGTAAAATGTCAATGAAGATGTCAGACTTAGTATATTTGTTAATAATTACATACAATACATGGAATTTGTGTGTGTGTATTCCAAGTGAATCTGCGGCCCCCTGGTGGCCAGTACATAAATGATGTGGCCCCCACCACCATCCAAGTTGCCCATCCCTGCTCTACCTTCTTCCTGGGTCTTAGCTTCTCCCTCCACTCCTTCAGCTCCATGCTGTGCTCCTCGTCCAGTTCCTTCAGCTTCTGGGTCTCATGTTCGATGAGCAGGTGGCACTTCTCGTTCTGAAACACACATAGGGAGGAAGTATATAAAACAACTTACTGTTCTCTTGGATTCTAAACTGAAACAGTACTGCATGTTAATTGTTGATACAAAAATGACTGAATGATTAATAAAAGTGTGAAGTGAGTGTAGTCCTTTAAATCTCTACCTGCATCTGCTGCAGCTCCCGGATGTTGGCGTCACACTGCAGCTGCAGGTCTCTCATCTGGTTCTCATGCTTCTGATGCTGGTGGAGCCTCTCGTTCTTCTGCCTCTTCTCTTCCTGGGCTGCAAACTGGGAGACAGAGACACATTTGGGGTTTTAAAGGCTACTATTCTTTCTGTTGTATACAAGACAAAAGTCTATTAAATGTGCTGCTCACCTGTTTGACCTTCTCCCTCTCCTGCTCGGGGGTGATGGAGGCGCCGGTGATTCGGAGGCTCTTCTTGAACATGGCCATGCGCGTCTTGGCCTCGCTGCGCTGGATCTTGGGCAGCCGGGTTCTCTCCTGCGTCTGCTTGTTCTTCATCTCCTCGATCAGACGCTGGTTGTAGCGCTGCATCTGCTCCATCTCCTGTACAGGGAAACACACAGGCACACACACACACCATTGAAAGAGCTTCCAGAGCAACTTTTCAAACTTTCACTTTTAATGCTGACATTTGTACAGAAACAAAACTGAGGGGTTGTTTTGGAGGTTGTATGAGTTGTGTAAAAGAGCTACAATCACCGCTTCTCCACTGAAATGAGTTCTGTTCTAGTTCCGTGCTGGGGCTAGTTTGGTTTGCAGTGGAATTAACTTGCAAACCACTTAAGAACCAGTTTGCTTTTCCACTGACTAGAGCCTGAGAGGAACCACGTCAGGACGTCACCGTATACTTTGCTGCAACGCCAGTGTGAATATCCCTTACAACGACAACAACAATGGCAAGACTATGTTGGAGCTGTGCTCATGTTGTGATTTAAAACACAAAGCCATATTGAGTTGCAAGAGTGACTTCTCTTTTTCTCCAGAGTGAAATGGCTAATATTATGCCTCTAGGATTCAGCATTTGCCTTCACCAGCATATATCCTACCGTTTCCCTACTGCTCGAAAGAAGCAATTCAGTGTGACTAACTAACCAGTAGCATCCACTGATGCACATTTCCACATGAATTTAACTTATTTTCAGTTTTATTTGACAATGTTTTGCTACATTGCTCCATAATTAAAGGATTATATAATGTGAAGTGTCTCTCGTCTCACATGGATGATGGTAGCCCAGCCACGAAAGCCTGTCTGACAAATCAATAACAAGATTAAGAATCTAAATATTTGCTTGTTTTTCTTCCATGTTTAATGGCAGAATGCGATCACACATTATATAAAACTCACTTTTGCAGAACATTAAACGCACAGACGTATGGCATATTATTTGTTCGCCATAAATGTTTTGAATTAGGATGTATTCCTTGCTACAACAATGATAGCAAACGGGTTGTAATTCAAAGTCTTGTGAATAATAAATAATATGTCACATGTACGCCTGGTTAATGTTGCGTGACGATTATATATAGGTATGTGGTGTTGTTCTAGACACTTTTCCATCTTGGAGCTATTGCTTCTGCAACAACTTTCTACTGTCGCCATGAACTGCTGTCGCTGGTTAAACCAGTTTTCAGGGCTCTGAAGCGGCCCTGAAGGCGCCTCGGTGTGAAAAAGGTGAATATGGTACCTTCTCGTGTCTCTTCAGCAGCTGGTGCCTCTGCATGAAGTATTGGTCTTTGAGCTGCTGTTTGAACAGCTGGTGCTTCTCCTGCAGGTGGCGCTCCTCCAGCTCCCACATAGCAGCCTCACGAGCTGTACGCAGACACACAAGGGAACAAAAGACAAAGTGATCACACACAAGAGGCATTCACAGGCTTATTGGGGGGGATTTCTTTGCAACATTTCAACCCCGTTCAGTATGACTAGATGGTCTGCTGTGGAGAATAACAGGACGGCGCAGAACACATATGACAGTGGGCTGAAGTTACCTCATTAGAACAGCTGAATGCTTAATCAACAAACTTAAATGACATTCCTATTTTTACTTTCTGTGAAACGTCACTAAAGTAGCAGCCTCACGTTAGATTTCTGAGAAGTGTTGTTTGTGCAGCTCCTGGAATATTGCTAACTGCTAACAGGCTACAGTTGCCTGTGTGTTATTTATTTAATGTTATATTTACATACATTTCAAAATTAAATGATAATTTGTTTAGTTATTTTGTAGATCATCTTAAAATCATTTTGTGAAGCCGAGAAAATATATAGTATTATTAATCATAATATATCATAAACGTGCAACGACTTGTCAACTGATCGCTTAAACTGACGGCTACAGGTCGACTAACAGAGAATCTTTGGGTGAGAGCAGCCCTCGTCTGAACACAGCGACCCCTAACGACAGTAAATGTTTTACCTCGGAGGAGCTGCTGCTTGTGGTTGAGGCAGTCTCTCTCGATGGTGGCCAGCTCGTGTTTGTGCTGCTGGATGATCTTCTTCAGATCGCTGTCCAGATCCTGCTGCTGCTTCTGAAGGAACTCTTGTTCCTGGAAAAAGGGAGACGAGATTACAGGTCCAGGTGATAATCCACCGGGTCTGCAACACACAAGGAACCTGAGGAAGAGAACTCCTTAACCCCCACCCACAACGACCAATGATCTCAGCCTGATGAGCGATCGGCCTTCAGGCTCTCTTACAACTTCACCTCGGCTTGAGCTGACAAACAAGACAGTTACAATTAGTCTCATCAATACGACTAATTGGGTTCAGCTTAAACTGCAGAAGCTGACATTTCAGAATCTGATGAACTACTTAGTGTTATGCAGTATGTACTTTCATAAACGTTTATGAATGTCTACTTAAAGTAGGGCTGTACCGGATTTTTACATTTGAAGCTTCTATTAAGGCTTCCAAATGAAGCTTCAAATGTCCTATCTGCTGTATAGCTCACTGGACCATTGTTGACACGTGTCATCCCCTCTGTCTCCCCTTTCAGCTCTGTCACTTCAATGAAGGCATTGGTGGATCCATAATCTTTAAGAAATGAATTCTGTAATATTTTATAATGTTGTATCAAATATTTTGTGTTTGAAAAAATGTAACTAAATCTGAATATAAATTAAAGCTGCAAAATGTGATAAAATGATGTAGGAGGGATTGATCATTTATTTTCTCCTTATCATTGAAAGATATATTTGAAATGATCATGGTGTGAACATCTGTACCAAATAAAGATATTTAATTTTGTCTGTAGAATAGCTTGTAGGCGGGGACATCTCTGCAACACCACAATCTTTTATTCAGAATAATATAAACACATATTTCAGTTCCTGCAATTTAAGTCCATTCTGCGATATTAGTTCAATTGCAAATAATTGTGGAGCCCTATGAATATGATATTTCTTTTATAAACCAACTTAAATATATCTTCTCATAGCTTGCCTCTTTTTATGTGCAGCAAGTTGGAGAAAACGCCAACAAATATGGTTTGCAGCAAAATATGTAATTATATAAAACATTGTTAATTTGAATATAATTACATCTATCTTTTTTCAAATAATGTTGCCTTTACAATGCTCTGAAGTTATTGGTAATGTTTAGATAACATAAGTGTGAACCATTTCTACACAGCTACCACTGAAATCTACAAATAGTATAATACTAATAATATTTACCTAGTTCTTACCAGCAGGTGGCAGACATGGCTTTTAACACAGTGGATGGACAGGCAAAAACTTCAAGATACAAAGCATTTAAATTATGATTTAAAATTGAAATGTCATCGTTATTCCAGCAGGGGGAAGAAATGGTTGTTGTGTGACCAGAATGAAGCTTTGAGAGGGTCTAGCTGCACTTTACGCTTGCTGTTGGCATGCAACTCATATAGAGAGCTGAGCTCATTTCCAATTTGTCAAAGAATTGACTTCAAAATGCTACTATTAAATTGTAAATTGCTAAAGGGTATAGATGTCTGACATGCTGCTCTGTTAAGAATCGACCAGAACTCTCAGATCATCTGGAACAGGTTTACTCATTGTTCTCCGGATCAGAACCAAACACACAGATTTTAATTTTTTTAAGCTCTGCAGATCTGGAACAAACTTCCTGAACAGGTGATGACGGCTCCATGTTTTATTATTACACTTCTACACTTCTTGAAGCATTATCTGGATTCAGAATGTCTATTATATCTTTTTTTTTTTACCATTTATTTAATTTGTTTGTGAGTTGTGCGTTAATGCCAATGTAAAGCACTTTGAATTGCCTTTGTGTCTGAAATAAACGTATCTAGCCTAGGGTAAAAAACTATAGCGTTTTCTAGTCTAAAGAGTGATGAGTCATGCTTCAAGAGACACAACAAAAGCGCCATATCTGAGGAGGTATCCAGTGACAAACGCATGCACACACGAAAGGACTAAATCACAACAAGGGCTAGTGCCTGAGGATCCCAGTACAAAACCCTGCTAGATATCGCACTAAACACTGCGCACACACCGCAAATTCAGGTATGTGGAAGGTTACAAAAGGGGAAAAAAGTCCTGAAACTGCATCAAAACACTAAGTGAAAAACTGTTAGATGATACCCTCACACAGTCAGAAGTCTGTTCAACAGAGGGAACGAGCTGAAAGTGTGTGTCAAAGTTCAAAACCCACAGCAATCTGATCCCTCATTACCTCCTCAGGCGGGGTTTGGATAATATCCTCTTTAATACGTTTCATGATAGCGTTTGTCACATGCCTTTGAGAAAGTCCAAATTCCTGTTTGTGTCAGCCATGAGAAGAAAATAAAATGAGCTGTGGACAGATTAGCACTGCGTCACAAAATGAATGAGAGGTGGCAGCACTGACTGATTTAGCAGCTGGTTATGTAAACACTTATAGGAAAGATCAGAGAGGCTTGGGTGTGTCAAAGTATTAAAACAACTATAAAAAGAACTGTACAAGCTATGCCACCCTCATAAGAGAGGTGAAGGGGAATTAAAAGAAGACGTGGTTCACACACTGACCTCTTTCTTGCGGTTCTTCAGCATGTTCTGGTACTTGGACAGTTCTTTGTCCTGCTCGGCTTTGATGCGTTTGGCCTCGTCCCGGAGCCGGTTGGTGTGCTCCTGCTCCAGCCGCTCGATGGTCTGCTTCTGCTGCCGCTCCAGGTTCTCCACCTCCTGGTCGTACTGACGCTTCTTACTCTGCAGGACACACACAGTCATGTCAGTGAGAGGAATGATTCTGTTCTATTAGTGTGTCAAATCGGAGAGGCAATACCCTTTGTTATGTACGCTTTCAAAAAGTGCGCAATTTACACTTTTATATAATGCCAAGGCCTCCTTCCTTTGTTTCCTCAAGCCACTTCAGAATCAGAATACCTTTATTCGTCCCACAGAGGGGAAATGTACATTTGTTACATTAGAAAATAGCCAAAGAGAGCTTAATGTTAACTAAGAAGAATGCATAAAACAAATATTAAAGATAAACAAAATATTACACAATTTACAAAATGTACAAAAGATACATTTCTAACACTTTAGCTTTAAATGTATGAGCTCTAGTCATAGTTGTGAGGACTTCTCTGGCCTCTGATGATTGCTTGATGTTATGCAGCTCGTGGTCAATCAAATAAATGAAGTTCTTTCTACAAACACTCAACAAAGAAAATAGGCCTTTACAAAAGTCTTTCTTTGTATCATGTTGTACTTATTATCATTTAACGGTTAAAAACCGGGTCTGGACGGTGTCTTCCACAGAGGGAAGCCATATCTGTTTCTCTTGTAATGCTGCTGCTCATTCGTATTTATTTGATTCTTTTTAACCTTTGATGTGTAACTATTTGATTTAATAACGTGTACTTGCCTCTTTATTTAGTAAAGCTAACCTGGAAGTTAGCATTGCCCTGGTTCCCTTGACAAGCCATGGGATTTTCCATTGGATTATGGATTAATCGGAAAGTGAAAAATGCTGATTCATTGCTGGGTTTTAGGTCCTGCAGAATTCTATAGAAGGCATCAAACAGCTAGAGGCCTATTAAACCCTGCATGAGGAAATAATAAAGTCATCCTTCACACGGCAACATTAGTCATTCACAAACTGTCTGCATTCAGACTAACTCATAATGGCTCAAAACTCAGTAGGACCACCACCCGTAGATCTCTGTGCAGTTGGAGGAAGTATTGTATTGTTTTCTGTGTGTGTCTGGATCTTGAGTCGTGGCTGTCCCTGTCGCTGTGGTCCTGCCTGACGCTCACCTTACTACTTCTTTGATGGCACCCAGAGGATTGTTGACATCCACCTGGACCCATCTTTAACTTCTACTTATTTATAGACACATGCATTTTCAAGCATTTGGACTACCTATGTTGTAAATGTATTATCTTTTTAATTTACACACAACGTCTATTGCCGTCTGTCCGTCCTGGGAGAGGGATCCCTCCTCTGTGGCTCTCCACATTAATTGGGGGTTTCTTTGGAAGTTTTTCATTGTCCAATGTGATGGTCTAAGGACAGAGGGTGTCGTATTCATATTCTGTACAAAGTCCCCTGAGACAATTGTAACATTTGTCATATTAGGCTATATAAATAAACTTTGATTGATTGATTCTGTTTTTCGTACATCTGGATGAGTTTATGTTTGTGGAGGATCATGGCAACCTTCCATTTAACCACCACAGTAAGCTATTTCTATGCACATATTTGTCTTCTGCTTCCTAGTCTCCAAATCTTAAAATGACAGTGTCCTGTTGCACATAATGCAACTTCCAGAACACTTGTGTGGACGTCAGTATGAAGGGAAAAGCGCTGAGCCATCTTAAGAGAAAATAAACATCACTGACACTTTTTTTACCAACTGAAAAGTAAGTAAGCAAATGAGTAAGTGTGTATGTAAGAGAGAAAGTAAGCATGTATGCAAGTTAGGAAGTACGCAAGTAATTAAGTAAGTAAGGAAGTTAGAAACTAAGTAAGTAAATATGAAAGGATGTAAGTACGTAAGTAAGCAAGTAAGTGAGTACCAATCAATCAAATATTGCACATATTTTACATAAATTGCTTTATTTTTGTTCAGAAGTCACGTTTTTGAACTGATCCTTCAAACTTTTTAGGCTATGAATAAAAAAACTAAAATCACAGCTACATTCATTGCCAGGGTAAATTGAGGCCAGTCCTGAAGCTGGCAGTTGTTCCTAAATGGAATGCAGAGTCAAACTAAAGCTACATGCGTCCTTGCACATGAGTTTCCATAAAGAGACAAGGAGCCAGGAAGAGCCGCTGACGGAACAAATGGTCAAATTGTCACCACAGTAGAAACACACGATACTTCCTGCTTTTGGTAAATACATGAAACTAAATCTATGCCAAAAAAAAGTACTTTCTCCTGAAGGAAAAAATACCAATGGGCTTAGTAAGCAATACATAACAGAGTAACAGAATCATATTTTCACAAGATCCTTTTTTTTTTTAACTGCACAGCTAATTCTGGTTAACTGTACACATTTCATTTTTCAAAGTAATTTTTCATACTTGCTTTTTTGAATATATATAAATATATATATATATATATATATATATTTTCTCTTATTTCTTTTTTTATAGTATTAAAATTGTTATTTATTTGCTTCTTTTTATAACTAATTCCCTCTTAGTGTGTTTATGGATACCCGATTGGACACCAAGGAAAATTGCTTGTGTGTGAAAACCTGCTTGGCAGTAAACATGATTCTGATTAAGTTGTAAGGTTACGAGTGTGCTCTTGTACGTCTGTCTTTGTGGGGACTTGTTTTAGACCCTATGAGGTCACTCTTCAGGTCTTTAAGATTTCAGTTAAGGTTAATGTTAATTAAGGGCTGGAGTTACACCATGGACGTATAAGGAGTACTGGATACAGCGTTGAAGACGGGGTCCTGTTCAATCCTATGAAAGCTGCTCAGTGGCACATGAAGCCAAAAAGGACTGTCTCGAGAGCAAATGTAGTGGTATCAGGGCCCATGGAGGAAGCGTTTTCCCTAAGCCCCGCCTTCTATCCGCATGATGAGATGAGTTGAATTTCGCTGTCACCACATTTTCAACCTTCAGACTTTCAGGATTCAAATAAAGGCTATAAAAGTGTTTGTGCTTGGTAGTTGATTCATCTCGAAGAAAATATCTGTTTTTTTTACACACGTCTCTTTCCCAGTGTAAGTCATTGGGGAAGATATCTTTTGGGCCCAATGAGGTCACGGATTGACACGGAAGTTGTAGTACCAACTTTTGGCCACTACGAAAATTAGCTTCAATGCCCGAGGCACTTTCTGGGGTCTTGGATTACACTTGTAGTGGTGATGTAATGTGTAGGGGCGAGGTAATGCGTCATGTCAATGAGGGGTTTGACAACAATCTGAATGCCTGTTGTGGACCTCACCGTGGTCTCCTGCTCGAAGCGGCGATAGATCTGCTCCTTCTGCTGCTGCAGCTTGTTGCTGAGCTGCTGCTGGGCCCTCTGCTCCTCCTTCTGCAGGAAACGCAGCTCCCTCAGCTCCTGGCGCCTGGAGCGGGGGAGGAAGAGAGAGAAAGGGTGTTATCTCTCTGTCTTTCTTCAGCATTAAGCAGGCCACAGTGGTGAGGAAGAGATCAGCTACACACTATCAGGTTGTACACTAGTTTCTGGGCAGAATTGATATTTATTTAAAACTGATGAATACCTGAGGAATCTCATCTCCTCGTTCTTCGTATCATTGTCAGTGATGATCTTCGATGTAGTAACGCTAACTTCCACTCCGTCCACAATGAATTTGCGAGTCTTTTTCAGCGTCTTCTTATGCCGCTTGTTGTCCTTGGAACAAAGACAGAAAAAGTTTATATATACATATAAGAATGAATTAGAATCAGTATACTTTATTCCTCCCCGAAAAAAATGGGTTATTAATATAAACATAGGAAGAAATGATGTGAATTAAAGATGTAATGTAATGCGCAATAAAAAGACAAAATGAAATATTTATATACACATAAAAAAGGTATATATATAAAAAGGAAATATAGAAAAGAACAATTCTTGAATTAAACATAAGAAGTTAAATAATGAGCAATAAAAAGATAAAATGTAATATATACATATTAGTACAATTAAAACTATTTCTATAAACATAACAAACAAACAAATTCTTCGTATGTGTGAACCTACCTGGCAATAAACCCGTTTCTGATTCTGATATGGAGTTTAATAGTGTCAATAAAAATAATAAAGAAAAAAATATATACAAATATTTATAAAAACATAAAAAGTAAAAATGTGTACATTGTACTACAATGTATACAGTGGTGTCTTGGTAATAATAAGATATTAATGCTAAACAGCAAAGTTGAAGTCTCTGAAAGCCTGTAATGCAGCGTGAGTTACCTGTACGGAGACAGATCCAGGCTCTTTAGTTTTGGACAGGAAGCTTGAGATGGACAGATTGAGGTCCCCGCTGCTGTTATCTGCGGCAGATCCAGTCCCAGAGTCTGAATCCCTCTCTTTGTCGTCCTTAGCTCTGTCTGGAACCGTCTTCTCGTCTTCTGCGTTCTCCTTTTCTGAGGGCTTCTCTCCATTCTGTTCTTTTGGGACCACTTTATCTTGCTCTGGTAGTGTCAATGTCACTTTGAGGTTTTTGTACCGCTCCTCGTCGTCCTCCTCCTCTGCTGGTGTGATTGGTTCCTCCATGGTTTCCTCCTGAGGAGCCTCAGTGACCTCTGGACTTTGAGGAACCTCGGCTGTGTCCACTTCCTTCTCGTCCTCAGCGGCGATCTCCAGCTGCTGCATTTCCTTCGCAGGTGCCTCTGGTTCTGGCTCTGGTCCAGGGGAGGCAACATCTTCCTCCACTGCTTTCTCTTCCTCATCTTCAGCTGGAGTTTTTGGAGTCTCCTCCATGGGTTCCTCAGCTGCAGGGGCCGCAGGCTCCTCCACAAAGCTTATGTCCACCACATGGTTTTCCACAGGGAGCTCAGTGGGCCTGGGCAAGGGCACAACTGGCTCTACCTTTTCAGGGACGGATTCCAAGATGGAGGGAGAGAGGGGGATCTTCTCATCCTCCGAGCTGGCCACGCTCACATCCGAGGGGCCGCGTTTGTGGCCCTGAAGGAAGGGCACAAGTCTCAGTTAGATAGTTAAGGCTAAAGCTAGAACACAATGAGGGTGCACTGATGTAATGAGCAGTCACTAGAGTCATTAGAGCTGAAACAATCGACTAATTAATAAAAATAATTATCAGCAATCTGTCTAAATAATAGATGGTCATCATTTTGAGCCTTTTTCGAGCAACAATGTCAATAATTTCCTTTTCTTTGTTTTCCATATGGTATATTGAGTATCGTTTGGTTTGGGATTAGCCAAGAAAATGATTAGCAGTCTAAATCAATAAAAAACGAATTGTTAGCTGAAGCTCCAATTAATATAAATAAAAGACTGAGATGGTAAAACCGCTGGGTCAACAATGCACTAGGGCTGCAGCTAATTCATTGATTAACAATGATAAGAACAATCTGACTATTATTTTCTCAAAGTATGATTATAAAAATAACTATTTGAGTGAAACTAAATAAAAAATATTGTTATGTAAATTGTTTATTTCTATCAGGTTAATATTACTGCTAAGACTTGAAACGTTATTTTGATCTCTTTTAACATTTTATTTTGAAGATGAATTGTTCAAATGTTCAAACTTATTCCTAAATTCTTTTAAAATATATTTTAACATCTGTATAAGTGAGAATGCACTAAACTAAATGTCAGTTTGCTTGAATTGACTCAAATTGTTAATAAGTTATCCAAATAGTGGCTTAATTTACCATTTCATCTCTAGAATAAAGTAATAAGACGCACAAAGCCAAATTATAGCAGTTAGCGGAACAAGTGTAGAGAAAAATAAATAAAACGAGGCCACGTTTTATTAATTCGTGCGCACGAGATGTAATTCGTGGCCTCAATTTAAATAAAACGAGGCCACGCGTTATTAATTTGTGCGCACGATATACTTTCTTACGGTTAGACACATCGAACTGCCCGATTATTACGCCATATTATTAGTTTTATGAAGAAGATGTCCGGTCGCCAGGGCGTGTGTGTGTGCATGTTTGTGTGTGTGTGTATGTGTGGGTATTTGTTTTCAGAAGATATTATGATAGTGGCGTTCGTTCCGGTGCACTCCGACAGCATTTAGCACTAGCCTACATCGAGATTAAGATTAAACGAACTTCTTTCACTTGGGAATACACATAATGGAGTTAGCCAGATGTGTGTAAATTACTGTTCATGGTAATTTGAAAACAAATGCCGGTGTCGGACACACACATACACCGAACACACACACACACACATCATGTAGCATTTCACGTTTCCATAGCAACAACAACTTCCTGTCAACAGCGTAAACTCGCCTTCAAAATAAAAGCATCTCAATAAAACAGAAAGTTAACCTAAATTACATTTAAGACATATACAACTGCAACGAAAGTAACAAAAACAATGTCATATCCTTTTCAGTTTCACAGAACACAAATTGGGTTATTTACACATCAGGCGCCCTGGTGACCGGACATCTCCTTCATAAAACGAGTAATAGGGGGAATAATCGGGCAGTTTGATGTGTGTAGAGGTGTGTGTGTGCGTGTGTGTGTGGCTAAAACGTAGCAGCCTCGATCTTTATTCAGCTGTTCTAATGAAGGTAAACACAGTGAAGGCGCTGCGTAAAAGACACAGCTCTCTGCGCGCAGATAGCAGATACTGTGAGAGTCACGGACATGAATTCATAGATCAAGGCAGACTGGTTCACAGACTCTCCTGTTTTGCGAATCCGGTGCTTAAACAAATAGTTCTACACCCCTGGCCGAAATGTCCCTAAAATGAAGTCTGAGTTTGAAATATATCTCAAATAATGTATGCACTGTCATTTCCCCACATACACATAACAGTCTACAATGAAAGAGAGAGTTGTCTCCTGTGCGCTCCACTTCCTACTTGGCGCACCGGTAACTTTCTCGTGCGCACAAATTAATAAAACGTGGCCTGGTTTTATTTATTTTTCTCTCTATGAACCCTCCAGGGCTCCGTACAAATCCCTTTTGCAAACATATCTTGCATATGGTCACCCACCAGGTGTGCCTCTGGGTATTCCTCCTCCTCTTCCTCCTTGTGGTCTTCGATCTCCTCTGTGACTTCAGCCTTGGCCTCAGCGATGAGCTCCCTCACAGGCCGGCTGTCCTTCACACTGGACACGAATGGATGCTGTGGAGAAGCCAAACAGAAACAGCACGATTAGAAGCTTACAGGAATTCATTTGTGGTAGTAGTCTATTTGCTCATAGGAGAAGTACCCTAATATATATGTTATAAATGTTCCCAGCACATAGAAAACTGCCGGATGCTAATTTGCATATGTTAGGCAATTTGCACAATTAGCATACATTGTGTCAATCAGCAATAATTAGCATTATAGCCTATGTTGACAACAATTAAAACGGACCATTTTGTGGTTTTGGGGGTTATTTAGGATGCTGAGTCAATTTCTGACATGTTCAGGATCCAAAATGGCAGTGATTGTGCTTGGCATGATTTTGAATAACTTTTGGTAGATTTTAAAGTTTTTAAGAGGACTCTCTCCGATCATTTGGATTGGAGAGATTGCTTATCTATTTGAAAACATATTGTCCACAGTAGAGGTAATCATTTTCATCTTGTACTCTCTATATCGAATGGTCGCAACACTACTCATTGTAGTCAAATCAGCCCACCTAAAATACAAATATAGCCACCGCTGAAAATGTCAGAAATGGTTTCAGCATCCTCATTAACCCCCACAATAGTCCAAATCAGCCAAGCCATTTTTCTGAACTAGTATCTGCATAGGATGAAATTTATTTTATTAGTTATTGCTGATTTACGCAACTTATGCTAATTGCTCAACATATGCAAGTTAGCATCCGGCAGTTTCAAGTGCTGGCAACTAGACTATAGTGCAAAGCATTATGTTGTAGAAAGATGTGACCTGTTGCAGTAAAAGTAAGTAGACACCCCACAAACGACTAGTCCCAGAGTTTGATGTGGTCCTCACAGTATGACCATGTTGACAAAAAAGACACAATAAAGTACTTTCCGAAAACTGTGAGATTATTTCAATTCTTTTCCCTGCATCATTCTTTTGTAACTATCCCCACAGTGAAGGAGTTGATCTTTAATGCAAACAAAAGCACAATGCATTTTTTTACAACCTCACCTTCTTCGGGTTAGAAATCTGCTGAACATATTCTATCGCTGGCCTCAGAATGTAAAGCTTCTTCCATATCAAAATCTTCATCGGTGACAGAGCGCTATTTAGTATTGTTAAGCCCATCGAGTCTTCTTACAATACTTTATTTGATCTGTAAGTCCTGTGTTTGTGTATCAATGAGTCCTTACTGCTTCTCCGTAAACAAGTGGCTCTGACTTAGACCTTATGCAAGACGTAAAGCCTGTTCTGCTGACGTCATGAGTGTCAGTCTGGCCAGGTTCACTACCTGTCGTCACAGCGATCAGGTACACAGATGTCTGCTGCTTACACTCTGAATGACAGCTGGCACATGGGACGAGGATTATCGCAGGCTTTAAGTGAGCAGATAGTGAAAGAGAAACGAACCTGCAGCAGCTGTGTCGGAGTCCATCGGTTGTCCACATGCTTGTCCAGACAACGCTTTAAGAAATCACTGAACTCTGGGGACCTTTAAGGGTAGAAGTGGGACAGAAATACGCTTAGATATTGGACGTAATTGCTCTTCTATGTCAAAGACGCCTTCATCGTAAGTGTGCTAAAAACTTACACTCAGAAGTTATACATTTTGCCAAATTACTGCCATTCAAAACAGTGACCTTCTCCATATGAATACTTATATACCACTGTAAATGTTATATACACATTATTCATTTTAGTACAATTAGCCTATTTTTAACTGCTTAATAATTATCTTTATTTTATACTTTTATTGCAAACATTAAACTCTTATGTTTATATAATATTCTTATTACATTTTTTATATTATCTTTTTTATATACACATTTTTCCTATATTTTATTGGACATTTATTTGCTTATGTAATTATGAATATCTTAATTGTATTTAAACGTTGTATTGTACATTACAGTGGTGAACCGTCAGGGCCTTCAAGGTATTCAGAGAATACCCTGGAACACTCGGATAAAACAAACAAAAAATCGAATTAATTATATAAATAAAATGAATAAAATGTAAATAAAATGAATAAATAAGAATCGTATCTGTGTTGTTGATCTGTAATATTACAGTGGTACGTTGATTTGTTTGTCCTTCTCAGTCCATGCACTACGCATTTCAGTGGTTTTGTGTTTGAAAGAAAATGCAACCAATCAGATACTTTTCTGGGTCTCTGTAGCATATCCTTCAACCAAGGTATTCTATATCCTTGATAGAATGCCCTGGCTGTTGCACTGAATGAGAGCGTACCTTTGGATTGACAGTTTGATCAACCAATCATATATTGATTTGTAGCCAATGGGCGTGTTCTTTCAGAGTTCCCCTCGGTTCCAGGGTATTCTAGAAGGCCCGGTAGTTCACTGGCTCGAGACAGAGGATCTAGGTAAGTGCAACGTAGCAATTCATTTGAAGTTTTATTCGTTTTTTACGTCGAAATGGCAACAGGTGAAGATGATGTTGTTGTGGAATTGTTGTTAGTACCCTTTTCAAGACGATCGTTCAGTGAAAAGATGGATATTATAAAAAAAGGCCGTCCAACGCAAAGTGACTGCCGCCGTGACGTCCGTCTAACTAGAACCGCATTTTAGAATCCGGGGGGGGGTGTCTACAGAAGGTCCAGTTGTGATAGACACGGTTCGCCAATGGTACATTATTACTTTAACTTCTTATGTTTGTATACATATTTTATTCTATTTTTTATTGTACATTATAACTTTAACTTCTTCTATATACATTTTTCAATTTGATTTATACTTTACTTTTTCACTCTAAAACAGAGCAACTGTCACAAATCCCATTCCACTCTGGTATAAATAAAGTATTCTGAATCTGATGACCCCCCCGCTGAGCCTCACCAGCGGGACGGCTGCATCAGGGTTGGAGGATCGGCCTTGGCTATTTTCAACAGCACTCTCATGGGGTTCATCTCGTGATTGGGTGGCTCGATCTGTGCCAGCTCGATCAGGGTGACCCCGAGGGACCAGATGTCCGCCTTGTAGTCGTACGGACGGTCCTTGGACGTCTCGCACATCACCACCTCTGGAGCCATCCTGGGAGGAAAGAAGGGAATTCAAGTGAAATTATATAGAAACTACAAATATTTACCATCTTTTGCTGACTATGTTTGCAACTAAATACCAAGTAATCATATTAAGACAATAGTTGTATTTAACTACACTGGGGTATTCCCACAAACAGAATTAGGCAATGATATTCCCTCAATTGAATTTAATTGAAATTGAAAGATGATAAATCAAGTTATATTTAATTATTGCTCAGTCAAGGGATGGGATGATATAGATGTTTTATCGGCGATTACAACAAAAACATTACAATAATACGATTTAAAAAAAATTATTATAAAAAAACATAAATATTATAAATAATAAATAGAGCCTTCTTCAAAAATACAAGAGTTATCATTATAGATGTATTTGTATGGTACTATAGCCATTTCGTACCATTTAAAGAAATGTTGAGCATGTTATGATGATTATCGGGATAAAATCTTGAATCCTAATTATTATGGTAAGAACAATCGTCAAAATACATTTTCATATTTACCCATGGCTAAGATGGAGCATTTTTTACTTTCTTTTATTTATTTCATCGAATAAATTGGCAGGCTTTTTTTGTATTGGCCATGTCCATGCTTTGTTTTATATTCCACTCACCAGTAAGGCGTTCCAATGAAAGAGTCTCTCCTCTGGAAAGTTTTGGTGTTTTTGGCCGACACACCAAAGTCAGCTGGAAGACATGGGACAAGCCAGAAATTAACCAAAGGAAAACCACTGTCACCATTTATTTTTAAAACGCAAAAAAGTACAAAATAAAAATAACTGTCCCTATGTGCAGCACAAGCCCAACACTGCCTGAGAGACCATTTGCTGATGGAACATTCTTCCTACATTTGCATGCTGACATCATGCCTTATCTGTGTCGTGTGTGGGTAACAGCTCATCCGTGAACAGACACCTCTGTGTGTGTTATGTCACCAGACAAAATGCTTGTTGTGTGTTATTTCACTGAGCAGCAGTGACTCACACCCCTTAAGTAAACTACGATACTGAAACTGCTGTGTACACGTTTGTTTACACACCGAGCAGCAGGTCCAAACACTTGCCATAGTGCACAAGAGTCATTAATTTACATTTTGATAATGACAGTAAGACTGTGCAGTATACGAAACGGTGAATTTCCTTTTTACATTTTTTTTTTTTTAAAGGCATTCCACTGATTTGACTCACCAAGTTTAGATTTCTACTCAGCCAGGGAAATAAGTTGTATGTTGGTTTTATCTTATCTTCTTTGGGATGAACTGACAATGTCCCATTGTTCTTCACAGCAACAAATTCCTCTAGCTGTTCAAATACAGATACAGTATGTGTTCTTTACCAGTGGCGACTGGTCATTAGGGGCACCTAGTGTCAGCAGAAAGTATTAAAATAATAATTACAAAAAAGATGCAAACAAAATACATCTTAAAATATATTTTACGATCATGCGGCCCCCGGGCCGCCATTTGCCCATCCCTGGTCTACAGTGTGCCTATTGAGCCATTTTGAGCGACGTGGGTCAAGCCCCGATCAAGCCACTCTCTCTCACTGTCTAAGTCAGGGGTGGGGAACCTCCGGCCCCCGGGCCGTATACGGCCCGCGAGACCATTAGGTACAGCCCTCGAGGTAATTTATAAACACACGCAAAAAAGATACAAATTAAAGAAATCTAGGTCGCAAAAACAATTAAACAAGCGAATGCCTGTTTTTCCTGGCCAAGGTCAGGGTCCTTGAACACAACACGAGCCTAACGTGTCATCACGTGGTATATGTCTCATCTGAAAGGGGTGCAGTTCTGACGGAGAGCACCAGAACGTTGCTCCAGCCAAAAATTGCAGTAGGCCTACCCATAAGGAGCCGTACACATGCCGCAGTTTTTGCGTGGCTGTGTCTTTAGTTGAAAGCCCAGTGGCGATCTGTTCATCTGTCATACTGATCATACAGTCAATAACTTTGTTGTTATTAGCATCTGGTTAGCTAGCAATGCTAACGAATATAAGAAGCTTTTTCTCCAACCAGTGAGGTAAAGGCACATCTTTATATGATCATTATAGTTATAAAAAAACAAGAGAATAAAGTAAACAGGTATAACATACTATATGACAGTAAAAAAAAGTTGTTATTAATAAACAAGAATACAGTTTGAAAGGAGAGTGATTTGTAAAATATCCATAAAGAAAAATAAATCTGCTTACAGTTCTGTTTCATATGGGTGTTGAGAGATGTATCCATAGATCTCCTAATGTTGCTCTCAAAGTGCACCAGATTGATGCTTTTAACTTCAACATTTAAAAAAAAATCTTCCCGGGGGAGCATGCCCCCCGGACCCCCCTAGAGGAGGTTAGGTCCCCCCCCCCCCCACTTAAATCATGTCCACATGGATAGGAAACTAAATACATTTGCACACATCTTGTGTCCATATCTTTCTGTTTTGGTGGTCATGCCACAACCGTGCACGTGAATGCATGCGCGAGTCAAGGTAAGATATCTGGATTAAGAGGTTGCTTTTTCTTTGCACAGCATGAAAGAAAGGCAAAATGAATGGGCTGTGATTTTAGTATTTTTAAGCAGAGGTCAATAATTTGTACGGCCCTCGGAGGATGTTGAAAAAATTGAAATGGCCCTTGAGAGGAAAAAGGTTCCCCACCCCTGGTCTAAGTGAATGGGTGCTGTACAAACTACACTGCGCATGCTCAGAGTGTAGTGTGTGAAGAGGAGACGAGAGAGGTGCAGTGACGTGTCCTAAAACCCGGAAGTAAGCTGCGCATGGGTTCCCTCGACAAAAAAGAAAATATAACAATAATAATTTAGAAAATAGCTCGAAATAAGATCTGTGGGAAACGTACCTGTTAGTTAATGCACGTTTTGTTCAGCCGGATAATATCCACATGTCTACCCTACTTTTATAATTTTCTAATCATAAATCTATCGATCATAAATCTATCGCTGAGATTTATGATTCGACTTTTGAAACTACAAGAAGATAAGGAGGACTTTTACAAAAAAGTTATATAGATTTTTGTCCAGAAGGATAGGCAAATGGACTTAATCTTCAAGTCAAGGTAAAACCACAATTTTATTGAAAATGGGATCTTACTAAGAGAGAACAATCCAATATTTAAATGATAAAATTACATTTTTTGGGTATCCTTTTGTTGAACTGTCTGTTTAAAATTAATCTTTTTTAATATTTTGATTTAGGTCAAAATATAATATTTGTAAACCTGAAGAGTCAGTGCCAGTGCCTCACCAGCCATGAACCTCACTGCAGAAGCTTATATATAAACATATAAAAATACGTACACTTTTGTACGTATAAAAACGCCACTGTTCTTTACTAAAGAACCAATGGAGATATAGACATAAAAAAACCTCTTTAAACCTCTGAGGTAAGATTACCGAGTTGCATTATGGGAAATGGGTTAAGGGTCATCGGATCTGCTGTTTCAATTCTGTATACAAACTATTTTAAAACTATTTATTACATTTGTACCTAATTTTCTATAAGAAATTGGACATACAAGCTGCCACATTTACTTGAAATTATTTCCTCTGATTATTTTGGAAATCTTATGCAATAGAAAACCACATTCATTCTTCTGACTGTTTAACCTGTTAAGCCCTGAGCCTGTTTTTCAGGTCTCAGGCTCGAAAATGACATTCCCAGAACAAATGACCATATCTTCCCTTCTAAAAGGGTTAAATTAATAATCTTTTTTCTCAAAGTAATGATACACCTGTGAGTTGGATGTAGAAAAGTCAGAATCAATATAGATGTTTTTTATTTTAAAGACAATTCAGATTTTACATAGTAAACAAATGTAAATTATAGTGTCCGTCCAAAAATTATTTTGTACTTATAGTGAAAACTACCCTTGGATGATGGTAAGGTAGACTCAAAGCTTTAGGAATCCAAAGTACAACATATAATAAGTACCCTGTATCAGGATTGAAGCAAAACAAGTGACATTTGACCTTTCTAGAGAGATTTAGCAAAAATAAACCACTTCTGGGGTCATTTGGGTGGATTTTCCATATCTCTGGCCCCCCTTGGTCGATTTTGATGGTTGACACCTCTTTCTGACCGTTAGAGCCAATAGAATCGAAGGGGGAGTCCCCAATTTTTCGGTGCAGTAAGGTGTTAGCATTTTTCGCTCGTTGCTAATTCAGAGGCTCAGTGTTAGCATTGTGGGTTTTAAAAAAAAAAAAGATCAGTTAGATGAGTTTCTTCCCGTTACATGGATATAAAACATTCATAGTTTATTAAATGAACATGCCCTCAGACACTGTTTCCTGCAAGATGTTGCGGCAGTGCCCCGGTACCGGGGTCTCTCGGGCTTAACAGGTTAAAGAGCAACTTTACTACCTTTATGCTTAACCTTGCCTGAAAATTACAATTAAAAAAGTTAATGCAGGATTTCATATGTTTTACGAGACACAAGGGCAGGAATTCAGAGGGGAAAGTAGCCGTTTTGAGCTCTGCTACTAAAAACTGTTTTTTTTGTTGACGTCATACGTCAAACGCGTCATATTACGTCACATGGGGGAGCAACTTTCTCTGACTCCTTCTCTGCCCAATCCGCGGTAGTAGTTGGTAGTTGGTTTGAGCGGTTGTGATTTAGTGAGCTGGTATTTTTCCGGTAATTTAGTGGGAATGCTGATACAGCATTCCAACTACTTGTTATGCTACGCACGAAATTCTTTATTATTCCGCCGGGTTATTTTGCGCCTCTTCTTCTCCCACATTCCACATCCGTTCAAACATCAAAACGTTCAGCTCGGTCGGAAATCAATGGCTATTACTTTTCTTATTCATAACTTTCATAATTCCAGAGATACATCCCATAATTCATTACATTTGTTACATTGAAGTCAATGGAGAAACTCTTCAGACTTGAACAATCTTCATGCAACTTCAACTGCTAACTGCTCCTTCATACTTTCACTCAGAAACCTCATTCCAACTTTAAAATGTAACACATCTTTCTGACATTATTCGTGTTACACAACTTTTAAATCTGATTCGTACTTTTAGAGATATTAAACATTGTTCAGACCTTGGTAAAGAGGCCTTATTCAGATTTAGAGTGCGTGATGTCACAGCTAGAGTGGAGGACAGACTGAAATTCGCCTTCATATTTATTTTTAAACCTGCCATAATTCCAAAACCCTACATTCCTGAGACATAATTTTTCATGAGAAACGTAGGAAAACATCTCGTAGCTTGAAAAAATAAATAAAAATAAGCAAAACAAGTAAACAAAATGCCTCTTGAGGGCATGAAGTGACAAAAATGTTCAACATTTCTCCATTAAAGCCCATTGTAAATTCAGGCTTATCTTTCCTCACAGCAGCAGCCGCACACCTTTAGTTAATCTGCCAAAAAGGCCACATTATTAACCCGAAAGTACACAAAAAGCACACTTCAGATGCTCAGGGTTCTTCAGATGCTTCATGCGTTGAAATTTCACCGATATCTGTTATGGTTCTTCAACAAAACGCTCACATGTAAGAGATTTATCTCTCATTCAGAACAATGCAAATGCTCTCCTCTCACTGATTACTCACCATGGAAACTTTGATCTCTGGACACGTTGTTAGCTCAAATATAAACACCTGTGTCATGGAACACGATGATGTCATAACTTCAACTGACATGCTCAGAGCAGCAGACTTCAGATAATGGTTAACACAGCTCTACATCAAATCTGATGTTACGTAATGTGGTGTTACTATGGCAACGCATCCCTCGCCATAAAACAGCAGCAGACTTCAGATAATGGTTAACGGTCCTGCCCTCAACAGCTCTACGCCAAATCTGAGATCTCACCATATGCCGTTTCCATGGAACACCCATAAAACACGCCATAAAACACGATGTCGCTGTAACTCCAATGGACACGGTCCGATCGTCCCCCAAACTTCGCTTGTATATCACCGGTCCATGCCTCAACAGCTCTACGCCAAATCTGAGATCTCGCCATAGGCTGTTGCGATGGAGACGCATCCCTCGCCATAAAACACGATGTTGTCGTGATACCTATGCAAATGGTCTAAAACAGCACCAGACTTCAGATAATGGTTAATGGTCCGGCCCTCAACAGCTCTATGTCAATTATGGGGTGTCATCATATGCCGTTTCCATGGAAACGCATCCCTCGCCATGAAACACGATGTCACTGTAACTCCAATGGACACGGTCCGATCGTCCCCAAACTTCGCTTGTATATCACCGGTCCATGCCTCAACAGCTCTACGCCAAATCTGAGATCTCACCATAGGCTGTTTCCATGGAAACGCATCCCTCGCCAAAAAACACGATGTTGTCATAACTGATATGAAAATGGTCAAAACAACACCAGACTTCAGATGACAGTTAATGGTCCAGCCCTCAACATGTCTATGTGCCATTAGTGAGTTTTCCTCAAAAGCTGTTGCCATGGCAACGCATTCCTTGCAATAAAACACGATATTGCTATAACTCCTATGAAAATTGTCAAAAAGTGCTAAAACTTCACATGTGTGCTAACAGTCCAGCCTACGGGACAGTTTTTAGATTTCTTCAAATGCCGTTGCCATGGCAACACAATGCTCGCCATGAAACACGATTTTTTCATAACTTCAGTGAAAAGGCTCCAAACAGCCCAAAACTTCACAGGTTTGGTAACGATGCAGCCATCAACATATCTAAGCGTATTATGGGGTGTCATCAAATACCGTTGCCATGGCGACAGATCATTCCCCATCAAGTTAGTTCAATAGTTTGCAGTTCAAATATTCTGCTGCTTTTCCAAGCTTTTTTACTTTCTTTTCTTATCAAACATTCAAGCCCCCAGTGTTCATGTATCATTTCAATCTAAATTCTTCACTTTCTTCTTACACATTACATTTCAGCATAGCAATTCAGCGTCAGCTTTTCAGCATAAAGCATTCCCACTAGCAATTTCTTCAGGAATTGCATTCTCTAGTTTTACATTGCATTTCACAATTTTTAATCATGGTGAGCTATTGTGTTTGTGCAGGTTGCACAAACTCCAGCCTGTCAGGACATCGAGTCCACAGTTTCCCTAACAGGAAAAGGACCGGAGCTAGCTTTCGTTCCTGGGTGCGTTGTGCGAGGTGCATCCACCCCCCTGCAGCACATACTCTCTCCAGAGGCCATGGGCTGGCATTTCCCACACAAGCACCTACCAAACAAAACGTTTATCAGGAAACCGTATAACATCTCTCTCCCCCCCTTCGCTGCTCTCTCTCTCTCTCCCCCCCCTTCGCTCCTCTCTCTCTCCCCTCCGGTACACAGCACAGTAAGACGTAGTGTGGAGTTGCATTAGGTAACGCGAGATACGGCTGATACTTGCGCATTAGTTTCTGTTATGGATCAGTATCAACAGTCCTGCCAGTAACGTTACTATATTATCAATACTACTTTAGTTATAGCCCGATATATGACAGCTAACTTTACAATGTTGTGATGTGACCGACGTTAGCTAACATTAACTTAGCTAACGCCGGTCACTCACCAAGACAGCTGCCCAGTTCTCCACTGGTTCTCCTCACACCACAGCTCCATTTCTCTCCGATGGCCGTTATTTCTTCTAATCCTTGGCTGCTCCTGGTCTCTTAGACGCCTAGCAGGCTCATAATTATAAGGTTGTGGTCTGTCATATGCATACGAATATACATTTTCAACCTCTTCTGTGTCAAAACTAGCATTGTGAACCATGTTTATTAATACGTTAGACCGGCCGCTCTCCCTCATGTGACGTCACACACGGGTGGTCTTTTTTTATGCGGAAGTAAAAATGTCTTACAAAAACGCGCCAGATGCCACTGTAGTGTATATTTCTGTATATTTTTTTGAAAATCTAGAGTATACATCATTTTCCTACACATTTATTCACTGGGGTCTCTAACCTGCAAGTTGCTCTTTAATATACAAGGTGTACTAACATTAGAAGAGTCATGTGGATGTGTAAGCTTGCATAAAAAGAGACTGAGACTCGTGTCAGAGTGGCCAATTTCTGATCCATACGACACCACATGACACCTCGGTTTGACACAGTTTTTCTCATAGAGAGACCTGTGTGTGAAAGCCCTTAGGTAACTGAACCTAACCATGTGTTTGGCCTGCATGTGTGAAAAGGGCTATACATGGATGGCATCACTGCACAGTGCATTCCTGTTCAGTTTTCAGCTGTTAAATCTTGAGAAAACACAAGATAAATACATGGGGACTGTGGCCAAAGGCGCATTGCTAGACTGTGAATTCATTAATGATTTTTCCCCTAGAACAGGAAAAATGAATACACAAGTGAACCAGAAAAAATGGACTTCCACATTAGGACAATAGGGGTGCAGGAATGAGTCCTAAAACGGGGAAATTAGTTAGCATTGTAGAACTACCGGTTCCCTCATCTTGAATTCGACATTTTCTATAAACATGTTATAGTCTTATTTTATGCCTGAAATAAGATTTGTGATTAACATGGCAAACCTTAGCCACCTTTAGCTTAGCGGTGGTTATGCGTAAACTGCAGCCATTCCACAGTTATGTTGTTCCTTCATAACCTTCATAACGTTAGCTATTTACTTAATATAAAAGTAGGGTAAAACAGTATGTGTATTTTATCCTCCTGAACAAATTGTGTAAATATCCAAAATGTGTGTTTTGCACATATCTTATTTCTTGCTACATTCCGAAATCCCACTACTTTTAGTCGAGGGAGCCCTTGCGTTTCTAAATTCCGGGTCGGCTTAAAATAAAATAAATGTCATCACTGCACCACCCTATTCAGCCAAGTTTCCTCTACCCTGTCTGTTTTGCATTAATAATGTGTACTTTCTGGTGTTAGCAGCTGGATTTCACTTTGTCCTTACCCAGCTTGACGTCCCCGTCCAGTGTGAGGAGGATGTTGCCGGCCTTCAGGTCTCTGTGGATGATTTTGTTGTCGTGGAGATAGACGAGAGCCTCCAGAGTCTGCTTACACACTACCCGGATCTGCGGCTCTGTCAGGGGTCTCTCCAGCTCTAGAGGGGATCACACAGGCTTAGACATTCTGACCGTGGAGTTCTCTACAACCTGTGTACACCTGGCATTAACATGCGATCACAGGTGGACAGCTCTGAATACAAGTGCAAACAACCACCAAAAAGCATTGTCATCTGATCAGTTATATCCCTGGGAAGCATTCGACCACATACAATCATTTTAGTGTAAACGCTAATGTGTTCTGATATACCCTGACAAGGACACAACAGGATAATACGTCTTCAAATCAGCAGCTCTTGTTTTCTTCCTTCTTTTTCTTATCTCTAGTTGGCTCTAAAGTCTCTTATGGATAAGTTATTAATACAACCACACTTCCCAGAATCAGAAACGTCCCTTTAAATAGACGTTTTTTCATTCGGCTGTTTAATGCAGCTTTGCAGAGTTTCCTTTTTGAAACCTGTATACAAATTGGAAATGCTGACTTACCTAGCATGACTGCATCCACAGCCCCTCCTCCACAGAACTCAATGAGGATCTGCCAAAGAAGGGAAAAACGCAACAGAGTCAATGTGTTTTTCAACACTTGCAACAGGAATACGTACACGTACACATCAAAGCATTTATTGATCTTTATTTTGAGATTTACCTATGCAACAAAATGTTTAAACAGAGGCGCGTGGAGGCTATTCGGGAGGCTGCACCCGGTGACCTGGCAGATGTAGAAGGTCTGGAAGGTTCTCAAAGTCAGAGAAAAATGCTCAGCACCATGTCTTTAGACTGCTGGACATGAATTGTATACATAGGGGACAAAAACTTCTCATCATGTAGCCTTACATCCACCCAGCTTGCGAGGATGAAATGCTCTGAGCCCTTAAAGGCATTTAGGAGCTTTCAGTACGGCTGTTGCTCTAAGAGGATTGGCCCAGTTGGGGCCACATTGTAAAGGAGGTTTCACACAGCTGCTAGGTAGCTAGCTATATTGCCGGACCTCATGCTTATACCGTGAATAGGATTAAAGTTTGTATGGACTTCAGGCAGGGGGCGAGTATGATTAAGGTAAAGCATCTGGGGCAGAGGGTCTCCATAAAGCTTGAGGCTGTACATATAGAAAGATGCTGACTAGCTCCATTGCACTGGGAAAATGTTGGCCAAAAGTCAAACTTTATGAAGAGGAAGTAAAGCCGCAATCCTGCAGTTTTGCAACAATTGAGAACGTGCTTATGGTTGACACTTGGCTTAAGGACCTAGCTTATGTTTCAGGGATCTTTTAAATTGATAAATCATTTAAGACTCTGATTCCTACAAATAAATACTCCTCACTTTACACAGAGGTTCAATGGCATTCCATTATTTGAGTTGAGCTTTTCAAGACTGCTCTACTTACAAACACAAAGCCCTCACAAGACATACAATGGCTGGAGTCTCAGAACACAGTCTTGGCTATTCAACACGCACACCCTTCTAGTGTTCCTCAGTAGGCGTGCTGTTGTTTTAATGGCTCCGCTGTTGTACAATGGCCCTCACAGTGGTTTATCAGAGTGGCAGCAAGCAAAGAGGAACCAGGGGCCAGGGCTGTGGCTTCCTCTCCCACTTGTTTATTTGACACACACAAATACATGGAGAAGTGTGCACCCACATGCTTTCTAATCCATTCATGTGGCAGACAGAGGGAGGATGTGAGAGTGAATATAATCTATATATTTTTTTTTTCGAATATTCGATTAATCATTCCCATCCCTAGTCAATAGGTGACACAATTTAGTGAAAGTAAGTCACCTCCCATGTTGTGGGATAATGTGGAATAGAGCCTTTCATCTCCAGGATGAAATGTCATGGACACTCTTCTCTTTGCACGAACAGGTGCCACACAAGCCCAGATCAAAATCAAGAGACAGCTTCTAACAGGCTGAGGCCATTGTTCAGAGGACAATGGGGAGGAAAGGGGCTGAGCGCTCAATAAAATGCACTGACATTAAATACGTTGGTGATAATGACAGTTTATATTGACCTGTCTTTTTAGGTGATTATGTATAAAGTTGTGCAGCAAAGACGTTTTTTTTTGTTTTGTTTTTCGGGCCGACCGAGGAGTTAGCATATCAGGGGCTTCCTCGACTTAAAGCAATGTCTCCATTGGATTTTGGAATATTGCAGAAAATATAATAATATGATATGAACACATTTTGTTCAGCAGGATTATCCACATATTAACACCACTTTTATATTAGTAGAAACGTAAATGCATGACAGGAGCTTCACATTACATCAACATCGCTAAGCTAAAGGTGGCTAATGTTCCGATTGATCACGTTTAGCATTCTCATTTAGCCACTTGTTAGCAACCGCCGCTATTAAGATAAGTAAAAGCTTCAGACCACCAACAGTGGGGTATTTACTGATATATGTACTAACTCATTTCCAAGTTTAGGACTCATACCTGAACCACTTTATTGACTGACACAAGCATTTACAATTTGTTATTTGGTTGCATCCTGTGATCCACTTCACTCACTTTGTTCCTCACACACACACACAGTTCATCTATTCATAAACACTTCCCTTGTATTTAGGTTCTGCGTAATGAATATCTACTGACACAGGTTATATTAGTACTGTGTTGCAAGGAATAGACACATTTATTAAGGCCGAATATAGCTCATATAAAAAGTGGATGGGTTATGACCTGGTTTTGCTGTTTTGCTGCTCATGTGCACGTTGGCCTTATGACTATTTGATAAGAATACTACAGTAAGGAAGTTGCATTTACTTTAAATCTTACTATAGATAACAGTACAATTACGCAATGTAAAAGGCATTGATATAATTGAGAGGGCCCATTCTACGCACATGCCACATTATTATAACGAAATGTACAGAAAATACTTAATAAAACAGTATTTCTTCCGTGATTTTCAGTATTAGCACTCAATTTTGTACGAGTTTAGCGCACCCTAAGCATCAGGGCTTATGCATTTTTCGGATACTCTATCATACATCAAGATTGGACTCATTTGTATCTCAGAAGGGAGCTTGGCTAAATCAAAATGCAGCATTAGGTCAACATATTCCCCTCCTTCGGTGGTAATTCAGGGGAAACACTGAGGACATTTTCCCTTCCTCTACTTACCCAGAGTTTGCTCTCAAAATAGAAAGCGTCGAGCAGTTGGACGATGTTTTCGTGATCGCAGGAGGCCAGGATGTCGATCTCTACCATGTAGTCCTCCAACTCCTCCTCCGTTTTTGTGTCAATAACTTTGGCTGCGGCGAGAATTCCCGTCTGTTTGTTCTGAGCCTGTCGGATGAGAATGTTATTAGACCGTTGTACGGACGGATGAGTCATGCAGTTATCCGAGTCACTGTCAGAAAATGTGTGATTGTTCTCATTTCCTGCACACTCTATGTTAAAGTCTCATTAGGCCAAACTTACTTCATATTATTTGACTGCAAGCCGTCTTGAGCTCATTATTGCAACACACATCTCCCATAACCATTAAGTGGATGTAAAAACAACATTTAAATAAGGTCCCATTATGTTTTCCCTTCCCTGTAGTGTGTTTTAGGTTTCTGTGCATGTAAATGGTCTGCAAAGGCTAAAATCACTCAGTTCCCTGCAGAGGGAGTTTCTCTCACACACACTCCCCCCCTGCCTGAAACGCCTAGATGGAGTCCTTTGTTTACTTCCGAGCATTGTGACATCACTATGTAACATTCGCGCCGCTATTGGACAGCGCTCCAACCAGCGTTTCTGCCAGGGGGGCGTCTTGCCGTCATTTGACGCCCTTATTCAGCTCGGAACGCCCTGAACTCGAGCCGAGGGCGTCCAAAAAAATAAATAATTCGAGAGAAGATCGAGTTTTTATCGCTTGAAATGACGAAAAGGAAAAAGGACAAGGACATCCCTCTATTGGAGGGGGAAAGGAGTCTGGTGGGATTATTTTCGTCGCCAGCAAAGCGTGTTCCTGTGACGTAAAGTGTACTGCTGGCGAGCCTTGACGGGGGGTGCTAGTGGAGCACGCGCGTGAACTGCGAGCGCCGGAGCCTCGCAGCGGCGAAACTGAGGCTTCGTGGTAAACTGTGGTAAAATGAAGAGCCGTTTCAGAGCTGAAAGAGCCGGCTCTTGAGTGAGCCTTCCCTGCCCTGAAGAAGAAGTGATCCTTCGTTAGCGTGAAGAGTCTGCTTTATGCGCTCCGCAGTAGCCCCGCTGCGAGGCTCCGGTGAGTTCACAGTTCATGAGCGTGCTCCACTAGTCTAGCACCCAGCCCCCACGCCCCCGCTCAACAACTTCAAAATGCTGGCTAAGCCCCGGATCTCATACAATCCTAAATCCGCCTCTGCTAAGGGGCGGGACATTTCAACACATCTCTAAGAGGTTGACCAATCAAAACAGAGCTGGCGAGCTAACCAATCAGAGCAGACTGGGCTCTGGTTTCAGACAGAGGGTGAAAAGGGGTGCTGCAGCACAGGCAGTAGGAGAAAATAAGATCATTAAAGCATGTAAACATGTCAGAGTAGAGGCACACAAAACAAATATGAACCTGAAAATGTACATAATACATCTTCCTAGAAAACACTTATTTTCAGCTGTAGTTAATAGTTAGATTTGTCTTGTTAAAGTGGAAATGTCTCTCCTGTTTGTTTAGGCTTCTCTGCAGGCAGGATGTGCTCAATGAAGTCGCCGCTGCGATATGGGATGCAGCCACTTCCTGATGACCTGCCTGTGTTCCGCCGTCAGTCAAACACCAGTGTGGACCATCCCAGTGAGGCATCAGTGCAGTGGGACATTACAACTAGAATGGCCAAAATCCCATTCATATAAACATAACACTGTAATTTACTATTTGTAGATCTCCAACAGCTTGACTCTGGAATGCCAGTGCCAATTGGACAAACATGAACCGCTTTCATGGAATAACAATATTAAAGGGCGTTTTGATCCTTTTCCTTTCTTATATAATAAGTCTAGTTCACGTGAGCCTCGCTATTGGAATGCCCTGTGACCAAATCATTGTGCAAGAAGATTAGGCTTAATTTAAGTATGACACAAGGTAATACCAGCTTGAAATCTTGGGAAACTATTTCAAGTCCAAAAATAACATTTGGCAACCAAGAACAAAACATAACTGCGTTCATTAGCCACAGACTTCCTGGTATTAGACTTGGTAGAGCCCTCCTGTGTGATAAGATTTACTGTCACTCATGCAAACCAAGGTCCAGCTATGCATTAGGGTCAAAGCACACAATGGCACTTAGGGCTAAACGTGTAATCGATTTTAAATCGAAATCGCGATTTGAAATGATGCGATTATCAAATCGCAAAGCCTGCGATTTTTTTTTTTTTACATTTTTTGTTCTTCTTGTGTGTCAGTCATCCACACCAATCAGAAGTGATGTGCTCCACATGTACCAGCCATTGTTAACCAATCAGAAGTGGCCCATGATAGAAGGTGATAGACAGATTTATCCAATCACCTGCCAAGTATTTTTGAAAGTGCCTGCCCTTTTCCAAATGGCTTCCAATGGAGCTTTCCTAGATGGTTTGGTGAAACAAACCACCTGAGTCAGGTTAGTAATGCTCCATCACATGTTTTACATCTATTACAGGGTGAATCTTAAACTGAAGCTTGACTTTAAAGCAACCCAACGGAAGTTTCATGTACGTTTAGTTCTTTCACTCGTAGCTCCAGCTGCGGGGTGCTAGAGACGGGAGCACGTTGATACGACCTTCCTAGCCAGAGATATGGCCGCATTTTACAATAAACTTCCGTTGGGTCGCTTAAAAACAAATATCGCAAATCGAATCGCAATCGCAATATTTGTCAGAAAAATCGCAATTACATTTTTTCCCAAAATCGTGCAGCCCTAGGCACTATTAAAAAGATGACAAGGGAGTGGCTTTGGCATTCTGACCATGTAAAGGGGGTTTAAATATTTGGCTGCCTTGTTGGAGCCTAAAAACAGCTGATAGGCTAAAAAAACATCCACTCATAATAGTGCTGGTGCCAGCTATTGTTCTGTATCTGTATGTATACATAACAAAGATAGTGTAACTTGGTAAATCATTGTGACAGATTGGTAAAAAAGACAGTTTCCAGCAATGAAAGGATCTGATGAAATGTGGATATCTGTCACATGAACAACCTTCCAGTAAATTGGAGAACAGTGACGAGCAGCAGTCCAATTTGACACTTTGCCCACAGTGCTGGTTCCTTGTTTAATAAAAGGTGGGTGGGTCACGGAAATACACCGAGGTGCCACTGTTGGTACTTGTATTATGCTTTGAAAATAGGATTATTTGGTAAGGAGACTCAAGTTTCGTCTCATTTCATGACAACACAAGTCTGACACACACACTACAGCAAATAGAGGAAAAGCTACTCTCTGCATAAAGCATCTCTTATTTCATACCTTGAACACTTTTCCAAAGGCTCCATCTCCCAATTCGCCGATAATGTCCCATATTTCCTCAGGATTTTCATCCCTGCGCACGTGTTCATACTGTTTCTTCTTCTTCTCTGATCCCAATTTAAATATTTTACGGAAATTAAAAAATGACATATTGAATCCTCGGTCATTCAATTATGAAGATGACAAAGGAACTTTAAAACGCCAAACTAGTGTCGGTTTCCTCGGAGAGTTTACTGTAGCATAAGTATTTGGAGTAGTGTCCCATCAGTTATAAATATCCGCTTGGTCAACACTGAGTAGCTTTCATAATAGTTGGGACCAAAAGCTAGCCTAGCCTTTGACACTGTTTTGGCCAGTCCGGAGAATAGCCCTTTCTCTTTGGGTCATTGTTAACCGCTAAATGAATAGCTAACGGGTAACGTAGACGTGTCCTAGCATCTAATATCCCACTGAACAATACTTTATTTTAATGCAAAGTAGTGAGGGAAGCTCGTCGTTGTTCCAATTCCTAACGACCCACTGGCCCGACAACCCTGTGGGGCGGCTCAGTCTCAACAAAAAGAAAAAATAAGATGAGTAAGGCTTCCTCCCAAATAGTTGTATTCCACAGAATAGTTTAGTTTCCTTGAGACGAAAAGCGGGTAGAATTGGTCCGTGCAATAACATAAGCTAAAACGGTTGAAACCTTCATCTTTCCCTTAGTGTGAGACGGGTTTAGTAATCTAGCGGATTTAGTGTCTGAGCGCGTTCCCGTGTGCGCGCGTCTGCGGTTCTTTCTCTTCGTGCCCCTCGTGTTTGACAGTTGGCGCGGTAATTTCAGTCTTCTGCTGCCCTCGTCTGCATGGGAGACCAAACACAGAAAATGAGCTGGGTCCTCAAACCATCAACGAAGATACTGTAGCAGATTTTCATCCAGACACATAATCAATATGCTTTTTATTACATGTGTGTTGAAGTGTTTCTGTGCCAATCTGCCGCCATCGCCTCTAAAAACAGTCTTGTTCCTTTGTGTGCCTGAAACTACATGTCCCATACACCATTGCGAAACACGAACGCATCATAAAGACTGTAAAATACTTATACAAAGCTTTTAAGTGTGTTTTATTAATATTATGTAATTGAAACCTCCCTAACCTAACGTATGTGCATATTGCTGAACCACCGTAAATAAAGAATACTTATTTTATTAAACTGAGCGTCACGTGACCAATATTTTGGTTCCTGCCAAGACCCATGCAGGAAGCACGCAATAGCTAGCTTCTTCGCCGGTGTAGGCATAGATATATATATCTATGGGTGTAGGCAGCGCCATATAGATAGATTATATTATATGGCTCTGGGTGTAGGTACCAGGAAGGCTTCTCAATACTCTAATTTCCCCTCCTCGACTCCTATCCTCGTGTCTTAGTCCCGCCCACAGGAGATGCGACCGGAGGAGTCGAGGAAGGGAACCGAGGAGAGAGGAGGGGAAGCAGCATGCGTTTAGAGAAATGAGAAATCCTCTCCTCTGAGCGGTCATTTTAAAGAGACGTCCGTTAATGGTGACAGGAGGCACAGCCCTCTGTCTGATGGACAGAACTGTGTTCATGATGACTTATATGTTTACTTTTAATTCATTGACAGTGCGGTATAATGAGACAATACCAGGCTACAGATGCGGACATATACGACAGTACACACGTTCAGAGGATGAAGCTGTTAACGTGCTGCTACCATAAACTGGCTGTAGCCCACAAACTGAAATAGAATGATCAAGTTATAGTAACAAATTACAAATTCCAGTGTTATAATTCCATATTCATAAATAAAATGACACAAGCTCTTACGTTGAGTCTGGAGTTTCAATACATTCTAAATCATCAGTAAAGTCTACGACTGATTGATTGATTGAAAAGTTTATTAACAGCTTGTATATTGGGTACAGTACAGTACAGCTCAAAACACCATATTTCGGAGGGAAATGCTACATATTAACTTTTTATTTTATGCATTTCAGTTCTTCATTAACATTCCTTAATTAACACTTCACTTTCCTGACACAGTTCCACTAAAATACATTCACTGTCGATTGTTATTTTTTAATATTCTTTGCGGAATTTGGCCGTGTAAAATGTCCTCTTGGGCTGCCGTACAGCCAATGCATGACGTCATTGGTAAGCGTAACGGACCCCGAACAGATCTGGTAGGCCGAACACATACCTACACCGGTTCCACATAATAGGTAAATAATCTGTTTTGTTTTCATAATGAAATGCAGGCCCCTACAATGGATCCAGCGGAAGAGCCCCCATCGATGTTATGGGGTTTGGACCCGATCTTTTCTGCTTTCGCCAGGCTGTATGTCAGAGACATCCTGCAGATGACAGAGTCCACACAGGTGCCAGGTAACAACTGCTAACTGTCTCTAACTAACTATAGAAACCCACTGTGTCCTGACTCCTTGGTCTATCTATACATTATACATTTCACACGTAACATTACAGTTCTTAATACTTAACAACTTACAAACTAACGTCAGTTGCTGTAAATATGATATTAGCAAGTAAGCTAACTAATTATCATTCTGTAAGTTCATAGCCAACTTTATTTATTATTTTGATCCTGTATGCACCCATGTCCCACAGGTATTTACTTCTACAACTCCCATCCAATTTACAAGGTTGATGTACTTGGGACAGTGGTTTACCAGAGAGAAAGAGAAGACTTCTTCTGTTATGGAGGTAATCTTGTTATTCCCCTCACCAAAATAAAAATAAAATATATATTCACTGATATTATTATATTTTATTAAACACTATACATTATGTGTGTACTTGTGTATCATTGACATAAATAATTTATGAAGTATTTCAGCAACATTCTTAAATATTGTATTTAGGGATGGGAATTTGAAAGCAAATGTATATTCGAATATTCGACCCCCAAAAAACGGTTAACCGATTAACCGAAATGTATATATCCTATAAAAAATGTGGGAAAAATGTTGACAAAAAAATAAATAAATACATGTTGAAATAAGTATAGAAACCAAGTCGAATTTGTCAAATGTATTGAACTGGTGATCACAGTTTGAACAGTTGACAGCTATAGGCCTACAGCTTTCATGCTTAAAACATAACTTGGTTTTTAAATTAAAGAGGGATCATACACGAACAACATAACGGGTTAGGGTAACGTAACCCTATTACAACAGAGATCAACAACCTGTAACAGGGCCTATGCACAGAATGCAGCTATTCAATACTCATTCTTGGTTAAGAATATGAGCATGTCTACTCAGGGGAGAGGCGGGTGCGGAGACGATTCACAATCAGGCCAGCTGTAGAGAAGACCCTCTCAGCTGGAATTTGGGCATAAGATGAGGTTTGAGTCTGCGTGATCTGCGTGTAGGGAGGGGCAGCAGCCATATCATTAGCTAGAACTAGCTAGATCTGATGGATTTGGACATAAACGCGAGTGAAGTATAACCGGACGCGAGAGAGAGATCAGCACCTGCAGCTCTACCCGCTGTGAGGGACCGGTGAGCGGAGCAAAACACACCTTTATACCTAACACACTTAGCTATGGCACTGTCGTATACATTGAATTATTCCATTTGATAATATGTAATCAACTTAGACACCCTTCCCAAAAAAATATATTTATAACTCATATTCTCATATTCGAATACCTGAATAATTTCGAATATTCGATTAATCGTTCCCATCCCTAATTGTATTCCGCTTTTATCAGTATTATAATTCATAGTCGTTATTTATACTTGGGACGATGGGGACTTGTCACAACCATCTTTTGGAAATGGCCATTTTTCCCCACCACTCATTGGGATCATTAGTTAAAAAGGTTCTGAAAATAGCGTGCACAAAGAATTTCAGTAGGGCCTGGCTCATTTTGTGGCATCTGCAGGCAGTGGCAAGTACTTCCGGCATGTACTTCCGGCATCTGCCACCGATGCCACTACTTGCCGAGGCATCTGCCGCTGCTGAACGGGAGTTGCCACAAGATGCCAGAGTAAGAGAAGGTTTACAGTAGCTGCCACTCGCCTTCCGTGGCAAATGCTGCTATTTAAACCCGTATTTATTGTGTAAAATGTAATTAAACATTTTTATTTCAATTATTTAAATGATAGAAAATCCATTAATAGCGGATACTCATAATTTTGTATTGGCTATACTCTCTTACAGTTTGGCTAATCTGCATCACAAATAGAGTTTTTTGGGAGGGGCAGTATAAGAACTGTATGTGTTTAAATCTGGGATTTTTCATCAGCCTTTATATTTATTTCAGATTTCAAATCCTAACTGTATGGCACAAACAACAATTTCAATTTATTTCCCTCAGGTTTGTCTCAAAATCACAAGTTTTTGACTATTTGAGAAAGACATTAAGAATAACCAAATCCAAAAATAGTAGGCTATGCACGGCAACATTTCTCAATGCTTCAGATGATTCTTATTTGATATTGATATCAGTGAATCTAAACAAACCATGTTATTCCGTTTAGACAATCATGACAGTATAGTAAAAAAGCAAGACACAATTCATGTTTTTTTATCCAACCCTCTTATTGTTTTTCGAAACTGGCGAACAATTTGTTATGCTGGACATCAACTAGTTCTTTGCAGAACGTTTCATAGTCCTTTTTTTGGATTACACTGCATAACTGTATGAATGTCTTGCTTGAATAAACAGATAAAGAAGACCAAATAATTAACATTACGAAATATTAGCAATTAAGTAGTGGCATCTGTGGCAGATGCCGGAAGTACCTGCCACAGATGCCACGGAGTAGTGGCATCTGCAAATACGGGTTTAAACAGCAGCATTTGCCACGGAAGGCGAGTGGCAGCTACCGTAAACCTTCTCTTACTCTGGCATCTTGTGGCAACTCCCGTTCAGTGTGTGTGTGTGTGTGTGTGTGTGTGTGTGTGTGTGTGTGTGGTGTGTGTGTGTGGTGTGTGTTGGTGTGTGTGTGTGTGTGTGTGGTGTGTGTGTGTGTGTGTGTGTGTGTGTGTGGGTGTGTGTGTGTGTGTGTGTGTGTGTGTGTGTGTGTGTGTGTGGTGTGTGTGTGTGTGTGTGTGTGTGTGTGGTGTGTGTGTGTGTGTGTGTGTGTGTGTGGTGTGTGGTGTGTGTGTTGTGTGTGTGTGTGGGTGTGTGTGTGTGTGTGTGTGTGTGTTGTGTGTGTGTGTGTGTGTGTGTGTGTGTGTGTGTGTGTGTGTGTGTGTGTGTGTGTGTGTGTGTGTGTGTGTGTGTGTGTGTACTTAGCAATACAATGATGTTGTTGCATATTTTGGATGAAATGTTGAGATCACTATTCTTTATTTACATCTCACAAACTGACACACACACTCTCCTGTTGTACAATAGCTTACAGATTAAAGGAATTTGGCATCCTTAACTCCTCACAAGCTAAAACAGGTTTTGAGTGTCTCTTCTTCTGTTCACAGTGGATGATGGTACCGGCGTGATAAACTGCCTATGCTGGAAAAATGACCTGTTCAAAGAAGAGGAAAATTCTTCTAAATGTGAGTTTGATTTATGAATCTCAGTAATGCTTGTTTTGCTTTGTATTAGACTTCTAATGAAGCAGAAGTACACTAAAGTTGCCAAATCACTGCACATTGACTTCCAAAATAAAAGGATGAATGTACTGATTTTCATTTACATAATATCTGTAAATGTTGTCTCTATTTTGACCATGCTGCTTATCTCTCCATGAGAGTTAATTACAGATGTACCTCAATGTTGCAAATGACACACACAGAGTATATTGTCTGTAGCCAGTATACCTTTTTTTACTTCGTATTTTTGGTTTTGCCTACAGCTGTTACGTCAGAGCGTGTATTAAACATAGGGCAAATCTTCCATTTAAAAGACAATATAAAAAGCAACACTATGAATATTACTTAACTATTGTCAGTATTAGTAAATGTAGTTTTGTAACTGTATACGAGTTGTCTTAAAGGTACTCTTTAGAGCAGGGCTGTCCATTATAGTTCATGGGTCACAGTCATTGACCAAAGGCTGGACCAGCAAAATCATAGCTTAAAAACATGTAAATATCCCCGACTCCAAATGTTTCCCTTTCTTTTAGTGTCAAGTACATTTGGAAAATGTTCTCATTAAATAAATGTACAAAGCAGATCATTAGCAGTTGGAGATGAATTGAAATGACCTCTTTTACATTACTACCTTTACTTTAACTACATTTCAACTATTCCTTTATAAATTACACTTATTTATTACCACAAACCACCGTGTAATATCCTAATATCCTATACTCATTTCCTGTCATAAATGTCCTGTCGGTCCTCCAGCAGGGGTAAAACCCAGTGACGGGGGCTTTAACCCGGTGAGTGAGCTGAAGAAGCTGAGGCAGGCGCAGCAGAGCCGCTGCCGGCTGGAGATCGGAGAGCTGCTCCGGGTCAGAGGACCGGTGAAGACGTCCAGACAACAGAGAGAAATCATGGCGTCCTGCTTCTGTGAGTGCACAGGACTGCCATCTGCTATTTGCTATCAGAAATGTACTCACCAGCGATAATACTCAAACTTATTATGTTTATATAAATATTTGTATTCATTGGTTTTAATATTATTTTGTATTAGATATTTAACTTTAAATTTATGTTTATATAAATATTTTTATTTTATTTCACATTCTTATTTTAATATATTTTGTTGAATATAAACATCTTCCTTTTTATTTCCAATTTAATAACATATTTTATTCCAGGTTTTTAAAATAAAAATAAAAACCTGGAATTAAACTTTTATGTTTTTATAAATATATACATTTTATTATATTCCACATTCTTACTTTAACTTGTTATGTTTATATAAGTATCTTATTTAATTTATTTTAATCAGAATCAGAATACCTTTATTTGGGCACATTTACAATAGTTACAGCAAAGAGCCAAAGACAGCTTAATATCTCTCAACAAGCATGTATAAGAAAGAAATATGAATATTAAAGAAAAAATAATAATAATTACACAATATACAAAGATTCACATCCAGTAAAAGTTCAGCGATATAGCAGCCAGGTTTGTATGTACACATTCTGATTCTGATTAGAATAAGACTACCAATGACTAGGGATGGGTACCGAGCCCCAGTATTAAACGGGCCCCGGGGCTGAATTATTAAAGACCGTGGTACCGTTAAGCTCCGAAGTTATCGGTCTTTTTATCTGTACTGGAGACATGTAAAATATATGTCATATGTATTATTGTTACACAAACATTATATTGCAGTTTTAGTGTCGTCAACTCCGTTATCTAACATGCAAAAAGACTGCAAAATGCATCTATGATTTATTTTTAGTATTTTAGATCTTTCCAATCCAGACGAGAGATCTCTCTCCCCCGTCTGTGTGCGAGGGGGCGGGGCAGTTTACACACACGCGGCTGCTACATGCATGTAACACACACACACACACACACACACACACACACACACACACACACACACACACACACACACGGCGGAGATGGCGGAGAGAACTTGCTCCAAGGTGTGGTTAAACTTTACTTTACTCCATGTTGACAATGCTCGTTACCAAAAGTGCAATAAGAGTTTAGCATGTCAGGGCGGTAACACGAGCAATTTGTCTAAACATCTTGCAAAAGTGCACCACATTCAGACGGAGAAATGCACCGGGTTCGAATGTCTTTCTAGTTGCTCTGTAGCCCCATCCACAAGTAACGTTTCCACGTCAGGTGTTATGTATGCAAGCAGCAACACACAGAGCTAACTCAATTATATAAACATGGGTTAATGATTCGAGGTAACTGAGTTATTTATTTTGTTAAAGTTTCAGCTACAATGAAACAACCCTGGTGCTGTTTCTTTTGATGTGAAATATTATTTATTTAATTTAAATAAAAAGCAATGTTCATTTTGTTCACAATTTGTTTAGCTAGCTTACTGTACCTTATTTTTCTCTCCAAAAGAACCGATAAGAGTACCGTTAAAGGACCGGATCGATAAGCGGTATCGATAAAAGTAGTAGTACCGTTAAAACCTTAACGATGCCCATCCCTACCAATGACCTTAAATACCAACATTTAACCGTTGTATCAGAAACTACACATGCTGAAACATGAACATGCATTCTCACAGTGACCCACACTCTCTGAAAGTGCCTCGCAAGGACTTTCTTTATCCTATCACTGTGGTCTTGTTTAATGATGCCTTACATGTGTCTCTCTTTCTTACACAAACACACACAGTGCACATTCTTTATTAACACACCATCTATATCCTCTGCCCATTCATCGTGTGTGTGTGTGTGTGTGTGTGTGTGTGTGTGTGTGTGTGTGTGTGTGTGTGTGTGTGTGTGTGTGTGTGTGTGTGTGTGTGTGTGTGTGTGTGTGTGTGTGTGTGTGTGTGTGTGTGTGTGTGTGTGTGTGTGTGTGTGTGTGTGTGTGTGTGTGTGTGTGTGTGTGTGTGTGTGTGTGTGTGTGTGTGTGTGTGTGTGTGTGTGTGTGTGTGTGTGTGTGTGTGTGTGTGTGTGTGTGTGTGTGTGTGTGTGTGTGTGTGTGTGTGTGTGTGTGTGTGTGTGTGTGTGTGTGTGTGTGTGTGTGTGTGTGTGTGTGTGTGTGTGTGTGTGTGTGTGTGTGTGTGTGTGTGTGTGTGTGTTCCCAGATAAAGTGAACGACCCAGTGATGGCGGTCCAGATAGCGTGGATGATGGAGGTTCCTCAGCTCTACAGGCAGTGTTATGACAAACCACTTCAGCTGCAACCTACAGCAACCGGGTACGAACATCCATCCCTTATATCGCACCATCACAGCATATTACATCACTGGTGCCAGGATTCCATTCAATTATTGAACATTTGACCACATTTCTAGAAAAATGTCAAAAGGAATGACTATTACCATGTTTCTATTCACATTTAATGAGAATTAGTTCTCGGTTCAGCAAGAAGGGAAGAAGGGGAGAGTACGATATCTGCTCCTTACACATGTACACACTAAATAAACCAACAAATTGACAGAGAATCTGGTTTTAAAAATGAAGGTATTGCTTCTGCCAAAAAAAACATTGGCTCTTCCGCTCGAACCAATGGCTGGAATTGCAATAACTGCAGCATAACTTAAATGATTGCAGCACTGATGGAGGTTTTCTGTAACTGTCCAAGTCTCTTCACCTTGTTTTAAACACTGACAGAGTCCTCACCATGTTCCTGTTAGTGTTTACTTCCTGCCTCTCTTCTTCTGCTGTTCCTTTTAGTTTTTATTTCTCTGACGTCACTCTACTATTGCGTTTAACAGAAACCTGTTTTAGGTGATTTACTGTAAAAAATCACAACACACTTGGGCTGTGCAATTAATTGAATTATATCAACATTGCAATATGGAATAATGCAGTATTTAAATTGTAGGTATGTGTTAAAATGGTGTTGTGTATATATACAGTATCCCAAATGTGTTTGGTTCATATCCTCTTAAAAAAATCCCTTCATAAATGTTGTAATGAGAGACATAAGAAGAGACATTCTGTTTTTGTTCATGTCTCGAGAATGTCTCTCATAATGACAATTATGATAACAAAATTATCAATCCATCCATTATTGCGAATCATATCGCAATTGCAACACCAGTCAAAATACTAGCAATTCATTGTTTTTTTGAACACACACTGGCTGCTTCATTTAGCATGTAGCGTTTCTTAGATGTAAATTGTGCACACCATTCATACTTACCTTACAACAGAAAAAAGACTAGCAATGACGCACATGTGAAGACACTGAGAGTTTTGTGGGCTTAAACATAATACAAGTGTTGCCCTTTAAAAGGTTGCAAAAGCAAAGCACATTAAATATCCCAACAATAGATTGCACTAAGGTATAATTCATATGTTCATTTTATTAGAAAAACTAAAATAAATCAAATACATACTTTCCTAAAGAAATTGTAACTAGTTGTCGGAGTTTGATTTGACTCGAGGACTATCAGTTATCTGTAGATATACATTTAAGTGTAAGGCCCTGACACACCAAGCCGATTTCGGCCGTAGATAAATGTCTGGCCGCCAATGAGCGTCCTGTCGCCCTACTCAGATTGGTGTGTCCCGCCCCGTCGTGTCTTTTCGGCCGTGCCGACACCTTCCGCTGCCGATTGACCAAGTTGAATCGGCAGCGGAGGCTGTCGGCAAAATAAATCACTCTGATTGGATGTTCAGCTTAGCGAATCAGTGCATCAGAAGCGAAACGGAAGTGAGGTACGCAAACAAACGATTAGGCACACACGGGGGCCTTTCTCATTTCTCTAATTTCCCCTCCTCGAATCCTCGGTCCTCCGGTAGTGACCCGGAAATGGATTTCAGCGCGCCATGTTGAAGGACATCTAATTTCTTTAAATGCACTTCGAGGATCGAGCATCGAGGAGGCTCTCTGGAGGAGCTATAACCGAGTATACACTGATGGGTCCTCCGCAGATGTATTTCCGGCAACAGTGATGTCTAAAAGAGTCATGACGCACGGCCGGACTTATCTCAGCCAATGACAGCTCTGCATGCATCCTCTGGATATTATTTTATTAACTGCTTTAATCGCGACGCGATGTTTACAGTGAGAACAGCTGTGAGGTCCGTGCAGAAAGCAGAGCAGTGTGTATAATATATATCACTCAGTATAACAGGCCTACATTACACTCTTTATTTATAATTAATTTTACATCATAGCGATCTGGAATGAAGAAACCGAAGACCAACTCAGTTGCCACGTAATTTGCTGCCACACTTCCTGCATGAGGTGGACAATAGCTTCTTCAAGTAGTTAACGGACAGGACCCTGGACGATGTGGCTAATTTTCTTTTTATTGTATTACTTACTATTTTTATCTTATTGTATTTTAGTCGATTGTTTACATTGTGCAGTTCTACATTTGATAATAAACCACTTTTTACCGCTATTGCAAAATACAAAACTTTATTTCGTACCTTCATACTTCATACCATTAGATAACACAACATTAGAATGAGGATAAAATTAGCTATATTCAGTGGCGTAACTATCGACGGTGCAGCCGGTGCAATGCACCGGGGCCCAGAGCCGGGCAGGGGCCCATGCAAAAAAAAAAAGATTTATTTTTCATGGGGCCCCAATGGCATTGGCCGGTTCACGCAGACTTCAAAGTAACCAAGCAACCTAAATTAATTTGTAATTCGTCTGGCATCAGCAAGTTCGGCAGCATACAAAATTGAATAGCCTGCATTTATAATCAGGGTTCCCGCGGGGTCTTAAAAAGTCTTACATTTGATAATCAGAATTTAAGGCCTTAAAAAGTCTTAAATATGATCAAAAAAATAAGAAAGGTCTTAAATATGATTTAGAAGGTCTTAAAAATGATGGGATTTGAAAGGTACTTCTGTGTTGCGATCGCGTCTAAATGTGTTTTGGGGGAAATGTCCGGGCTGCAAAGTAACCAGTACGGTAAGAGCCTTCAGTTCCCCCCAACAATTTGTATTGAAATAAATCAACATGGAACCAGTAATCACTAACTTTGTTTCCCCCGGCCCCTTATCGGAGAACACCCAGCTAGTAACCTAGCAACCAACCAAGCTTCAGCTAGGTTCACCAAAACAATATTTGCACCGGGGCCAATCACAACCTTGTTACGCCACTGGCTATACTACAATAAAAGTCAGAAGATACAGATGTACATGATGATACATAATTTGCCTGTCAGTGTTATGATGTTGTATATTAATATAATCTTGGATTATAATTACTGATGCATGGAATGTGGTAGCAGCAGTACTTTAAGGTTGCCAGCCACAATGCTTAAATAGTTTCTTTCTGCGCGTTAACCGAATATTTAACAATGACGGAAAAATCTGAAAGCAGTCCGTCATTTTGACAGATTAAAACAAACTCGGAACAGCGCCAAAGTTTCCCCGCAACGAGGCTCCGGTGTTATGCCGTGTTATGCATGCCCTCAAAAAAAGGAAATGATACCGTTTCCAAACTTAACTTTGCCGTACAAATCATTGAAATGTCTGTGAGTTTTGGCTTTACGCTGCGCGCGCTCCCGCAAGGTGCAGTGGGCATGCATAAAGGCCCCTACACACCAAGCTGACACCAAAGAACACGTCCCGACGGAACACGACTGTTGTGTCGCCTCACGTCTCCTGCGTCTTGGCCAAGCGGCAAACTCTGGGGCAGAGCCGGGAGGCCAATAAGGAAGTGCCTCAAACTGCAGTTCATCTATTGGCCGATAGGCGATGACTGTAGAAAGGATGAATTTCCATAGACCCCCATGTTAAAATGCCCAACTTTACAGCAGAAATAAACATGTTTCTATCCCTGGATGCAATACAAAGTATTCGGGATATAGTTAGATTCCACCTTAATGATTATTAATTGTTGAGTGAATTGTTTTATAACGCAACCCTTTTATTTATATTAGGTCTTAAGGTTTTTGCATAAATTAGGGAGTGGTCACTTTGATGGACAGGTACGTGCCTCACTGTCAGCTAACAGCAACTTGTCCATTCTGCTAGGCTACAACGTTAGCTAGTTGTAGTTACTGTACTTGACCCTTTAGCCGCGTTCGTGGTGATTGTGCCTTTTAGCGAATGTTGTTACAAATACCAGACAATTAAAATGTCGTGCTGTGCGGTTGAATGTACTAACAGAACTTCCAAGAAGTCTAAAATGATAATATTATACATGTTAACCCCGTTAGCAGGTGTTTGTGTGCTTGTTAGCTTAGCTTGTTATATAGCTTATTAGCCAGCTAAGGACGTAACCCTTTATACATGTATATATATTAGGGCTGTCAGTCGATTAAAATATTTAATCGCGATTAATCGCATGATTGTCCATAGTTAATCGCGATTAATCGCAAATTAATCGCACATTTTGTATCTTTTCTAAATGTACCTTAGAGGGATATCTTTCAAGTTTTTAATACTCTTATCAACATATGAGTGGACAAATATGCTTTATATGTTTGTTTATTATCATTTGAACAATGACAAATATTCTCATGAATATTAAACACAACAACCTCTGAACATTACAAATATTCGCCTCAATTCAACCTGGAACCTCTCTCATACAATAATAGTGTGTGTGTGTGTGTGTGTGTGTGTGTGTGTGTGTGTGTGTGTGTGTGTGTGTGTGTGTGTGTGTGTGTGTGTGTGTGTGTGTGTGTGTGTGTGTGTGTGTGTGTGTGTGTGTGTGTGTGTGTGTGTGTGTGTGTGTGTGTGTGTGTGTGTGTGTGTGTGTGTGTGTGTGTGTGTGTGTGTGTGTGTGTGTGTGTGTGTGTGTGTGTGTGTGTGTGTGTGTGTGTGTGTGTGTGTGTGTGTGTGTGTGTGTGTGTGTGTGTGTGTGTGTGTGTGTGTGTGTGTGTGTGTGTGTGTGTGTGTGTGTGTGTGTGTGTGTGCGCTATGTGCAGCTCAAGGCATATATGCTCCAACGGGAGCTGCCTGGACGCTGCAATCATGTTGCGTGTGCTGACTTTTCGTACAATGTCCCACTGTCTGGCTACCTGCATAAAGTCCAGTGCTCGACGAAATGTCATTGAAACAGCTCCTTATATCCGTTAGCGCAGCTAGCTAGCACCAGATGCTAACAACAACACGTAAGGTGTGCCTCGCTCGCGCGAGTCGCGCCACACATACACACTCCCTCCCGGTCCTCCCGATGGCCAGTCCGGGCCTGCCAGTGAGCGTGGAAGTGTGGTCTGCCACAAGCGGGCGGCAGGAGCGGTGCTGTCAGCATCAGCTTGTAGATGGTATTTTACACTCGATGCGCTCTGAAACTACGGCGGCCGAGGACAAAAAATACACATGCGTTAATCGCGTTAAAATAATTAGTGGCGTTAATTTTTTTTTGCGTTAACGCGTTATTAACGCGTTAACTTGACAGCCCTAATATATATATATATACATATACAGTTTAGTTTATGATTCAGCCTTGGGTAAGACTTTTATAGTCTATGGATATGACGCCCATAATGCTAAACGGGAGCAAATATTAAAAGGGGACCCAATTATCCCAGTGGTGGCCGCCGGAGCTAACGGAGCCGCAGGGGGCTAGCTCCAGCCGGCGTCCCGGCGGCCGGAGCTAGCCCCCTACGGCTCCGTTAGCTACAATTGTTCTGCTATGTATCGGCACTTATTTTATTTTATTAACGTGTGAATGACGACCATTAAGAATAACAAAAAATTGCTAATTCTCTTGCAGATTGTCTCGTTTGATTAGGAATGTAACGTTTATATAGTGGAACTACACTGTTTTAACAAAACCAAAGTGCCACGCAGTAACTTGGTATGCATGTATTTCATGTTAGCTTAGCTTCTTAGCTTGAGCTAGCTCTGGAACTTCCAGCTCGGTGGCAGCAGGTCCCGCCTCGGCTCCGCCTCTTTGCCCTTATTTGGATCAGGCTGGAGCAGGCGGGAGTTAGACTCTGACGTCACTGTCGAGACTAAGGGCTTCTCTAACTCTGCAGAATCCTATGGGTGACGTCACGGACACTACGTCCATTTATATATACAGTCTATGGTCTTGGCCAACAGTCGCACTGGAACACACCGCAAAGACTTCAGCCGATGGCCAAGTAGCACATACGAACTGCGCATGCGTGAGTGGCAATAACTCTCCTTACCAGCAGGCGGCGGTAGTGTGTATTCGTCATTCAAAAGAGGCAACCGGAAGACAGACTGCGTGATACAAACAACAAATAGCGTGTGCGTTCCATTTTCACTCTCGTCCATCGAAAACATGTTTAGTGCAGTACTGGCGGTATCAGCCCTTGGACTGTTGCTAGTGGAAGCAGATAGATGAAAATGAAAAATAATAGCCGTCTGTGTGTGCCTTCTTAATCGTTTGTTTGCGTACCTCGCTTCTCATGCACTGATTCGCTAAGCTGAACAGCCAATCAGAGTGATTTCTTTTGCCGACAGCCTTTTGCCGACAGCTCAGCGGAAGGTGTCGGCACGGCCGAAAAGACACGACGGTGCGGGACACACCAATCTGAGTAGGGCGACAGGATGCTCATCGACGGCCAGACATCTATCGACACCTATCGACGGCCAAAATCGGCTTGGTGTGTAGGGGCCTTAACACGGCGCTAACAGTTCACGAGCGTGCGCCCCCCATCTTTGCGGTGTGTTCCAGTGCGACTTTTTGGCCAAGACGCAGGAGACATGAGGCGACACAACAGTCGGGTCCGTCGGGACGTGTTCTTTGGTGTCAGTTTGGTTTGTCGGGGCCTTAAGTATGAATTGTATGAAGGCCATTTTCTCTCTGTGTTGTTCAGTGAATCAGCTGTCAGTTCCATCGGCAAGGCAACCAATATCATCAAGGATTTCTTTAAGCAGAAGTCGGTGAGCAGGTTCAGGCCGTATGATGTTGAGGACCTCCTGCAGCCTCTGATCCCTAGACAGCCTCAAACTGCACCAGCAGACCAGGTACGCCCGATTATAATATTGGATCAGTTTATTTTTGAAGATGTGTGGAGGTGGGATGAAAGGAAAATCAAACGTCAGACTGTATTTGAAGTGTCCTTCAATATAATAAAGTATATCCTTCAAAAAGATAGAAGAAAATGCCATTTGAAATGTAATTTCATTTTAGCACTGCTGTATTACCATGCTTCTCTGTTGCTACGAAGGAGCCAGTGGCGGGTCCATCTGCATGCCAGCAGCTCCGGCAGCTCCTCAAGGAGGCCCTGAAAATTCTTCAGGATGAGGGTATTGTTTACCGCAAGGTCAAATCCCAGGATGAGCTTTATCATGTAAGAAACATCAGAGAGTCCTTCAATTATTCTTAACACCTCAGCAGGCTGTTAAAGCGAGGATGCCTTATGGACGTGTGTGTTCGATGTTGTTGTCCATCACCAGGTGACTGCACAGGACAAAGATCTACTCATAGCCGTCAAAGATATCATCAGGGAGGACTGCAAGAGAGAGAAGTGTAAGTACTCTTCAAGTATCAAGATTTTGATAATTTTTCTAATTCACCTTTGTGGCAATGTTTTGTGTAAAGCAGTAATTAATAGTTAAATAGGACATATTATGCTAATGTTAAGGTTGATATTAGTCTTTTGTGTCTCTACTGTGATATGTCGCCATGCTTTAATGTTCAAAAAGCTCTTTATTTTTCTCATACTGCCTGTGCTGCAGCACCTCTTTTCACCCTCTGTCTGAAACCAGAGCACAGTCTGCTCTGATTGGTTAGCTGGCCGCCTCTGTTGCGATTGGTCAAGCGCTTAGAGATGTCCGTCCCTTAGCCTATCACTTACAATGTAATGGCGCGCTAACCAATAGAAGCGTCAGTGTTACATAGTGATGTCACTATGTAACTGAAGTAAACAAAGGTGTCGAATGGAGGTGTTTGGAGGTGTTTGAGGCAGTGCAACAAAGTACCTACTTACTCATCTCTGCTTTAATACAGTGGTGTAAGAATGATTCTTTAACCCGTAAATTAGTTGGCATTTTATCACTTCCGGGTTCACTCGTCTAAATGTGAAAATTAGTTTTTGCTTAGATTCCTGAAATAAGGTCTATAGTAAATACAACTGACCAGATGTTCACACTTTGTTTTATGACATAAAAAATGTCAGTAAACACCCCACTGGTGAATGTTTGAAGCTTTTAAAAACGGTGGTTGCTAACAAATGACTTAAAAAGACTATTAAAGGTGGGGTAGGTAAGTTTGAGAAACCGGCTCGAGATACACTTTTTGTTATATTCCATGGAATGCTCTTAACATCCCGATAGCAATGAATATCTTAAGTGCTTTGACGGAAAATCCATACAAAAATTCATCTGTGGAAGCCGTAGTACTGTAAAAAGCACGACCAATCATCTGAGCCTCCATCTAACGTTGGTTTCCATGGCCACATGCCTGTGTGTTGACAGTGTCTTCCTCCTGTGCCCGCAGATGCGGAGAAGGGTTGCCACATCCTGCACATCCTGTCTGCAGTCAGGCAGCGCTACAGCCTGAATGTGAGCAGAGCGGCACTGGAGCTGGTCCTCAAATCACTGGAGTGCAACAGTGACGTCGTCAGCACCAGCGACAGCCATTACACTGTGTTTTAACTTAGGCACAGTTTGGCTGTATATATATATATATACTATGTGTAGTATGGCCTATTACTCCAAAATGCGAGCATCCAATTGAAATAAATCATGTCATTTGTATTCCTTTGTTCATCGTGACTATTGTCAAGAACATCTCTTTTACAAAACCACTATTTTGGGATCCATTTAAAGGTGGGGTAGGTAAGTTTGAGAAACCGGCTCGAGATACACTTTTTGTTATATTCCATGGAATGCTCTTAACATCCCGATAGCAATGAATATCTTAAGTGCTTTGACAAAAGATCCATAAAAAAATGTCATCTGTGGAAGCCGTAATACTGTAAAAAGCACGACCAATCATTTTAGCCGGCCCGGCTAAAATAACTGGATGGCCTACCTGCCTGTCAGCCTTCCATCTGTGCACAAACTTATCTCGTGCCCTCATTGGTCATGTGCGCGTTCGTGTGTGTCGGAGGAGGGGCTCTATAAGGAAGTGGCAGATTTTCTCCGGTTGTGTATTTTCAAATTCTAGCGATCTCGAGCCGGTTTCTCAAACTTACCTACCCTACCTTTAAGTCCATTTTTTAACCATGCTGATACAATTTTGCAATCCACTGTTGTAATTAATAATGATAGCATACATTTCATTGCTGTAAATGGCTGCATTAAAATGCATGGCACCTCTTGGTCCCCATCCCTCTCAATTGATGTCCGCCCATAAAATATTTATATTGCATCCCTTTACAGTATATCCAATCTGACTGGCAAGACACACAAAAACTACATAGGATAAACCTGTAAGAAAAGCAGTGTTAAATAATAATACCAATAATCGGCTGTTATTACCATCTCTGTCATCATAATTTTAAAAAAGCAGTTGCAAGCACATCATAATGCCAAAATGCAACATGCACAAATATGTTGTATCTTCATGTGGTTATACTGACATAAATATAATGCACTACTCATCCAACGTGCATTATGCATATCTAGGCTGGGAATCAAACTTCTGAAAGTTGGACTAAAAATATAACTCAATTACATTTTTATTAGACTTTCCCAGTCTGGAAAATTCCCAAGTCTTTGAAACTACATGCCCGGTTTGTTTTGCAGGCTTTCAGTTAAACACTTGCAGTCTCTGAGTACATGTAGAAAAAATCAGAATCATGATGAGTAAATATCATGTGAAAATTGGTGGATTGTCAATTAAATAAAAAATGTTTGATTTGCAAGAAAGCCCTTTAGATGTATACATTACATAACTACAAATTAGTTTTCTCTCATTGACCCCTTGACAATCTTTGCCTTATTGGTAATCCATCCTTACATCTTCCCATACGCATATTAAATGACTTCACAACAAAGCAGTTCACACACAGTAGGCTTGGAGCTTTTAAATCCCCTGGGGCAGATGCCCAGTTGGAGTTCAAGCCTTAGGCTAGTGCTTACAGTAAAGTCATTATAATAACAACAGAACGTCTTAAAATGTGATACTTATCTGATCTTCATGCCATGAAAACCTGTTAAGGGGCTTAATTCATTTTAGGTGTTCAATTTAGTGAACTAAAAAGGAGTAATAAGTCCAAGCTTTAGCACCATGCCTGTGTTGCCGTGTGCACAGGGGGGCAGTGTTCGGTCGTTAATTGGCTCTTTCATGTAGAGCAGGCTATTTCTGATTGGTCGCCTGAGAAACATCTGTATCCATATCTCCAGCTGCTCGTGTCTCCGGCCAGAAAGCTGCTCGTGACTCAGAGACCGGAGAGTGTGAACAAAGTGAGCACAGCTTCATTATCACACCGGGAGAAGTAGGAACATTTCAATGAATAACCTGCAGTTCGTGTCGAATTCAGGCCTGCATGTTGAGACATTACGTTACTTTATTTAATATGCTCTGAAGCGGGAAGGAAAAGTTCTGGGGCCCCGGGGGAAGATTAGTGAAATGATAGGCCGAGTGTCTCCGCTCGTAACAAACACATCATCATTAGCCTTTGTCACAGTACGTTTCTTGTCGAAGAAGGCACAGGCAAATCTTTTTTTATTGGATGCTTCATTCCAAATCGCCCTGAGGACGTGTGTGAAGCCCATCCCACTCCGTTCCCTAAATTAACTGCGCCTGCTGGAAGGCAGGAGGAGGTTAGGCGCTGGATCTGCCGGCTCCCTTCGCATTCAGACACCCCGGTAACCTCCAGGTATACAGATGCCCCTCCAGTAGGCACCGCGGCAGACACAAAGGAACTCGCATCACTTTTTTTCTATTTTTAAGGTGACCGCCTTAACCAGCGCGCCGCCCGCCACCGGCCAGACTGTGCTGCTGAAGCAACGTGAACCCCACTCTGTGCTCGTATATTCGGCTGTGTGTTTCACCGCCACCGGCCAGCAAAAGCTCACATGTACTATTGATAAGTTTCTGATCATATGTATGGTCGTTGCGTCAGTCTGCGCCGACGAGGAGCTGCTGTCTTCATGGACCGCTGAATTTTTAAGTGACACAGCGATGAATGTGGTGATTTCTCTCCCGTGATACAAGATAGCTTATCCGGAGCCTCAGCAGCTGCCTGTCTGTCGCTTTTAATGCATAGCCTTTGCAGGGTCAAGATGCAGTTTAGGACTGTGCTGGACGTGAAAGTCGTGGACGTGCAGAAGAGGCGCAATCCGTCTAAACACTACGTGAGTTGCCTGCCTGCATATCACCTTATTCCCACCTTGTCCCATTCAGAGGTGTCAGCGGTGTCTCTGGCCTGTTCCCAGCCACAGCGTGACACCTAAACGCAGCATTTAGTCCATTAATGTAGCTAGCAGCTTCTTGGAGACCATCGCTAAGCTAACTCGTGTTCAGCAAGATACCTGCTTATAAATAATAAAGCAAACCGTTATTACTGTAGCTAACCCCCCTCAATATTTCAACAGACATGGTTCATTATCACAAGTGAGCTGTCATAAATGTGGACTGTCAAACAAGCAGCCTGGGCACCTTCAGCACTGTAACCTAATGCAGGCTATTACCTTCAATGTGTCAAGATGATCATGACTTCTTCACTAGTACTCATTATTATTTAGACTAGTCAGAGGTGTTTGGAGTCAAAACTAGTGTACATTCAGTTCTTTTTTTTAGGGTAAAGTGGTTACATATTTAATTAGTCACACCAAATGATTACATTCAGTAATGCCAGCTTACTGTACCTGTGTACTTCTGACAAGTTGTAAGGTGGAAGTAGGGTTGGGCAATATATTGATATTATATCTATATCATGATATGTGACTAAATATCTTCTTTGAATCTTCTTAAGTTAATTGTCATGCAATATGTCATTTTCTTAAGTGATCTATTATTTGCTTTACCTCTGTACATTTCTATCCACCTTACTGGTGAAAAAGTATTGATTGAATTGAGTAAATACTTTGTGAAAGCACCAATAGTCAGAACTATATTATTGTTGCATTATCGAGTTATTTGATCAAAACTATTGTTATATTTTTGTATAACTATTGAATAATTGATTTGCTCCATACCGCTTCCTCAACCAGATAGACAGATCAGCCTCATGGTGTTTTAGTAAACATACTATAGTCATAGTCCTATAGTACTACAGAAGTTCAGCAGTTCTATAATATAGCAACATTTTCATTATTCAGACTGAAATCTTAATGTGTATATCCGAATATTTCACACGCTCAATTAACCAATATTTCATATTATAATTTTAACTGACAATTTGATATACCTTCTCAGTGTTCAGCAGTTCCTGTCCAGGCTTCAAAACCTGTCAATGAACAGTTTCCAAAGTTATATAAGGATTATATTTCCATAAATGTTATCCTTCAGTTCAAAATTCAAGATAAGCCTGTCCGTATCCTGAAATGGTCTTGTTAACATTTTTTTTTGAATTATCTAGTCAACATTTCCCAAAATAATGTCAACACAAGGTTAATTTAGTTCTTGTTCTGGAGTTATTGTTCAAATGACATGAACTTCATCAATAGATGGTATCTGCCTAGTGAAATTGAAGATGTTTAAATAAAAACAATGTTTGCACTCGAGGGGCTTTTAGTCAATGTGTCTTAAAAATTAAGATTGACCTTGAAAACAGCAGTTGACAAACTAATATCACCACGTTCTGCATTAAGTAGCATATCTTTGAAAGATGTCAAACTAACTGTTTGAATGCACTTTTTGTTTTTATTTTAAGCTTGTCTGATCAATCCTTATTTTAAAGATGTTGGACCCTTAATTCTCCCTATTTCAGTGACTATCATTCCCTTCCTGATCCTTCCCTCCTGTGGCCTTCTTCATCAATACCTCACTTGTTTTAAGTGAGAGTCTGTCTTTGGGGCTCGGCTCTCCGTTAGATCCTATTTTGAGCTCAAAAACAAGACATAATAAATGACTTGCTCATATGCAATTACAGACCTGCAGACCCTTGGGCCTAACGATATGGACACAATTAACACTCTTATTCTCCTTGGAAAGTAGGAATTCACAGGGCTCTCCCCACATGTGTACTTTCTTTAGACATACTGCTACTTCTTTACAAGACTTGGAAAAATGATATGAATGTTCCCACCCAGAACATAACAGCATCTGCGAAATTGTCAGAGTCGATAATAGCAAACACTGCCCGTATATTTTTGTCACCTGGGGTGGCCCCTGTAAACTGATACCTCAACTCTTGACAGTGTAGAAGCATCACTGTACAGAACCAGGGGCACGCAACTAGCTTTGGGCCCCAACTGACAGCCCCTTCACTCCTTCTCCCCATTCACTGGGTGCTCGTACACTGTCGCCTTCAAGTACCCATCAAGTACAGTGCACGCAGCAGACTCCACATGGCAGCTTAATTATAGTTTGCCTGGAGCTCTTGAAACCACCAGTACTCCCATACTGGAGGACTACCTGCCCCAGGTTCACCGTGTGCCAATTAATTTGCGTTTATTTTATCAAACACAAACTTATCAAGGATGATATCAGCTGAGTTAATAATGGTCTTAAAACAAGATGTGGAAATGGATTTAAGATTAGTTAGCGATGCAAAAAAATATTCTTCTGTTCACATTGTGTTTCAGGCTAAATCACAAGAACACACTTTTTTTGGTTGAAAACTTAGCTTTTTTAAATAAAAACATGTGTACCTTTTAGTTTTAGAGAAAAACAAAAGCATTTTAGGTCATTGCAATTGCACCTCTTGTAAAACTCCTTCCACGTTAAAGATTAACCAACATTTATTTTTGGTGTCGCCAGTTTTGGAATAGATCCCCATATGTGTGTGTTTGTGTGTGGCCAAACTTAACTAACAGCCTTTTGATTGTATTTTGGTAGGTTTCTTTATGGAGATTTTTTATAAACTTTGCTTGTGTGGACAGGATTATTTTGGAAATGAACAAAGAAAATCCATGATTTTAAAAATAGCGGTGTACGCCTGGACTAGGCATGTTCTAAGTGCATATTCACGAACATATGTGTTTTCACATGACAACAAGCTAAACATGTAATTTGGTATAACAGCCTCTTATTGGCTTTGGTCTTGAGAAAATGTATGTTTTTAAACTGTATGTGCTTTTGTTTCAGACGGGCTTACAGGGTTGATTGGTTAGACTTGATGAATTCAGAAAATCTAACGATCAACATTTTATATTTTAAGATCCAATCAGTCACTTTAGAAAGAAGCGTCTGCAATATAGGCCTACAATATAATTTAAACAAATAATAGGAGGAATCTCTTTACAAAAACAATCTTGGTTGCTCTTGATGATCCTCAAAGTTATCTGTTTCAACTGGAACTCATTTCCATTACAGAAATAGTCCCTATATAAATAGCTTAAAGTGTGTTAAGGAGATAATACAGAGTAACCAGGCCAATGTTTCAGGAATGACACATGGCTATTGCAGGTTTTAAACTCATGTTGCAATGCTGTGCGCAATAACAAGCAGCAACAATAGTTTTAAAAGGTGGAAAATGAATAGCTTAGTATTAGAAATGGAAGCAAGGCAAATAAGCTAGTTCGGTCTAATGTTGAAAAATAGGCCAATAGGCGCTTTCACACCAAGTACTTTGCCGTACTTAGTTCCCAGTACTTAGTTTATCGGAACTCTGAGCAGATCGCGTTCACACCGGAATAAGTCCCTGAGGGAGGATTAGGCAAATGAATTTGCTGACGTCACTTCTTCTTCTTCTGCTTTGGGTTTACTGGCAGGCTGCAAACAACTTCACGGCGTATACTGCCACCCGAAGTCTCCGGCCGGAAGTCCCCGGAGTTGGGGACTGGCTTCAGTAGAAGCTGCTGGGACTCCAGCAGCTTTTACGTGTTGTTTTTGTTGTTAGCATCTGGTGCTAGCTAGCTGCGCTAACGGATATAAGGAGCTGTTTCAATGAAAACAGAGGAGCGACATTTCGCCAACAACTCCGCCGAGCACTTGACTTTATGCAGGTAGCCAGACAGTGGGACATTGTACGAAAAGTCAGCACACTCAGCACGGATAGTGCGCGCAACATGATTGCAGCGTCCAGGCAGCTCCCGTTCGAGCATATATGCCTTGAGCTGCACATAGCTCCAACGATCCATCACAGTGTCTCCACATTCACACACACAAACACACACACACACACACACACACACACACACACACACACACACACACACATACACACACACACACACACTTTGTATTGTATTATTGTATGAGAGAGGTTCCAGGTTGAATTGAGGCGAATATTTGTAATGTTCAGAGGTTGTTGTGTTTAATATTCATGAGAATATTTGTCATTGTTCAAATGATAATAAACAAACATATAAAGCATATTTGTCCACTCATATGTTGATAAGAGTATTAAAAACTTGAAAAATATCCCTCTAAGGTACATTTAGAACAGATAAAAAATGTGGGATTAATTTGCGATTAATCGCGATTAACTATGGACAATCATGCGATTATATATTATTATATATATATAATAACAATATGTAGGCTCAGCAGCAGACACACCTTAGTGCAAAGTGAAGTGTCAGTATTAATAACAGTGGCATATATATAATCACAATAATACAAAATTAACTGTCCCAGGTGTAGGCAATTTGGGGTGAAGTGTCTTGCCCAGGGACACAACGACATGCTGACAGCAGTGGGGTTTGAACCTGTGCTCCCCTGATCCGAACACCAACGCACCAGACCACTGCACCACACGCCTCCCAACAAGTCATTGTACAGTTTATCAACGACGACAAGTTTTTCTTAATTTTTTTATTGAAGGCCTGTTGGATTTAATCAGCTCGCTTTGCACTGCCAGAAGCCCAGCCTGAAAGGTATTTGGTTGCTCCACCTGGCGCGCCGCCGAGTCAGCATGGCGCGGCATCACCATGAGCAGCTGGTCGTCCGATTCCTGGGCCTTGTGTGAATGCAGCAGCCGTTCGTCGTGCATCTCCTTGGCACGCAGGTCCTCATTCTCCTTGCTGACCATGGCACGGCGGTCCATCGCCATGATGGTGTCAAGGAAGCTGTCATCCCGTGCCCGCTTTCCTAAGGAGAAATAAGCAAGATACAAGATCAGTTTAATCGCCTAGTAGGTTGTCAACAGAGACAACATTGGACATGGTGCAGGAAGGGACAGTGTACAAAATGCAGGTGTAAAGTAGAAGATAAGATAGGATCAAATAATATCAAATAAAAAATAAAT